CCAGCAATGTCTCTATGGGGATAATAGCAGTTCACCAGCTATAAGGCAGAGAGGTGTTGGAGATGAAGCTGGAGAAATAGTGGGGACCTTAAATGTTGTGCTGCGAATCTTGAATTTAATTCTTCAGAAGCACCAGATCAAGAGCATGCAGATTTTAGACAGAGGTGTAATTTACATTTTTGAGAAATCAGGTTAGCAGGGAAGACTGTTTTTTGAGAAGTACAAGCCTAGAAGCTGGGTGATCAGTTGAGGAAATATTGTAATAAATCAGGTGAGCAACAGTCAGGGCTGAAACTAGTCCTAGGTCATAAGGATGGTGAGAAAAAAAAATAAGGATGGTAAGGAGGGAATAAACTGATGACAGAACTGGTGGGATTTGATTCATCAGTAGATCATGGGAGGTGGAAGAGAGGGGGAAACTGAGACTGACTTCCTGATTTCTTGCTATCTACATATGTACGTGGTAATGTAATCAAATGTGAGAAAACCAGATGGCTGTGTCCCATAGAAACTTAAGGGAGAGATCTGAACTGGAAAAACAGATTTGGGAGTTATTAGCATGAAGGAAATATTTAAAATCATTAGATTGGGCAAGTTTCTCCAAGGTAGAGTATAGATAAAGAAAAGCACTGAAGAAAGGATAGAATCCTGGGGAAGACTCACATCTTAAAGGAGGGCTCAGGGACAGCCCATGAAGGAGACATAATATCAGAGCACTATAAGGAGGATCTGGAGTGTTTGCCACATAGAAATTCAATCTAAGGAAGAAGGAATCAGCTTTGTCGAAGCAATGGAGGTGTTATTATTTCAATGAGAAATGGTAATTGCATTTGGTGATAAGAAGGTCAGGTAAAGAGGAGTAGGAAGGTGGAGTTGGCAACCAGACTGCACAAAAGGCTAAGGTGTAAACGGGAAATTAAGAAGTGAAGTCAGTTACGATATATAGTTTGCTCTTTCAGGAACCCAAGGTAAAGAAGATGATGACAGAACTTAGGTAGCAGGTCTCCCCAAGGTGGGCTTCCCTGGTGGCTCAGTGGTAAAGAATCTGCCTGTCAATGCAGGAGACGCAAGTTTGATCCCTAGGTCAGGACGATCCTCTGAAGAAGGAAATGGCAAGCCACTCCAGTATTCTTGCCTGAGAAGTCCCATGAACAGAGGAACCTGGCGGGCCCCAGACCATCGGGTCACAAAGAGATGTGACTTAGCGACTGAGCAAAACAACCCTCCAACTCAGATGATCTCAAGCAGCTCAACAGAAAGTCTGCTGAGACAGCATATGCACACACCCATTCAGTAAATACTACATAAATAGATCTAACCAAATATCAGCACAAACCTTTAGGTTTTTACTCAGCCTTTCTTCCTCTTGTGTGTCATAATAATCTTTTTCCTTGACCACATTTTTTTCCTTAATCATTTCCTTCTGGTCTATTCAACATCAGAAATTGTTTTATGTAGCGAGAAGCTTCTCACAAAAATCTCCATGTCCCATTTTGAGAAATTGGCCTCAAGCCATTTCCTGCTTTGGTCATTAAAAAAATAATAATAGCTGTTATTTGCAGAGTAATCAGAATTCCATCAAGAAATGCTGTGTACATTAATCTAAGTCATGTTATTGTTATGATTGCTAGTATTAGAATAACAAGGTGGTGACCTTGTTCATCTCTAAAACATTTGATATTGTTTAGTGAAGTTATAATCTGGACTTTCAGAAATCCAAGGTTGAACTATGTACCCTGTGGATGCTCCTTAAATAGTTATTTGATGACTAATCAGTTATTTCATAGGCCTTAACATAGACATGATGATGTCAGAGCAGGCAGAGTTGAAGAAGTGAGCTCACACAAAGGACCAACCCAAAGAATTCTCAGGGAAATGTCAGTAATATTTGTACAGTATGTATAAAACATTCAAATATGTGAAAACATTTATACAATCTTAAATCCCTTACAAATGTGAAAGGAATAATTATAATTATCAAGACAATAAAGTAAGATCCAGCAATCTCACTTCTGGGTTTATACCCGGATAACTGTACTTCCTTTTGTTTGTTTTTGACACCACATAGCATGTAGGATCTTACTTTCCCCATCAGGAATCAAACCCGTGCCCCCTGCATTGGAAGCACAGTGTCTCAACCACTGGGTAAATAGGGGTTTCCTTGGATATTTGTACTTCCACTTTCACCCAGCATTATTCACAATTGCCAAAGTATGGAAACAACCTAAGTGTCTGCCAATGGATAAATGAATAAAGAAGATGTGGTATACACATACAACAGACTATTATTTAGCATGAGAAAGGAAATCCTGCCATTTGCTACAAGATGCATGGGCCTTGAGGGTATTGTGTTAAGTGAAATAACTAGACAAAGACAAGCACTGCATGGCACCACTCATATGTAGAATGATAATAGGTCAAACTCATAGAAACAGACAGTAGAAAAGCACTTGGCAGGGGCAAGAGGGTGGGGGAAGCAGGGAGAAGTTGGTAAAAGGGTTCATTCTTTTAGCTTTAAGATGAATAAAGTTAGGGGATCTACTGTGTAACACGGTAGCCATAGTCGATAACACTGTAATGTATCACTGATATTTTCTGAGAGTTGAACTTAAATACTCTCACCAAGAGAGGGAAGAAGGATAAATATATAAGATGATAAATGTGTTAACTTGATAGTGGGAATCCTTTCACAGTGTCTATGTATGTCAAATCACCAAGATATACACTTTAATTATCTTACAATTTTGTCAATTATACTTCAATAAGGCTGGGGGAGGGGGGAAGGCAATAAAGTAAAAAAGATTATCTTAAATGGTGATTGTTTCTGATATGTTTGCTAGAAATCTGTTCTGGGCAAGAGTTTTAAGTTATGGAATAGAGCCTTTTTCATGGGAATATTGATGTTTTTAAACTTTTCCAAATTTCGGGCTGTTACATCAGCATGAAATTCAGAGCTGATTCATGCGGAAACTGTTTCTTTCTGCAATTTTAGGCTTTATTCATTTGGTTTCCCCTTTTTCACATGGTGTCTCTCATTTTGATAGCTTAATCTTCAGACATTAATGCTCTGAAAATGAAAGTCGCTCAAGAGTGTAACTCCTTGCAACCCCATGGACTGTAGACTGCCAGGCTCCTCTGTCCTTGGAATTCTCCAGGCAAGAATACTGGAGTGGGTTACCATTCCCTTCTCCAGAGGATCTTCCTGACCCAGAGATCAAATCCAGGTCTCTTGCATTGCAGGCAGATTCTTTACTGTCTGAGCCACCAGGAAAGCCTGTTAATACTCTAGGCATATGAAATACATTCATTCATTTTACAAATACATGCAAATATTTTCGGGAGTCACAGGCATAATCCCTGTTTAAGGAGTTAAAAGAGATCACAGTTCAGCAATAGAGACATAAAGTAGAGCTGTCATAAAAGATGACATACTAAAGTCCCTGGGGGGTCCATCCACGTGCAGGGACGGGTTTCATACATCTCTGTATCTCTGATGTCAGGCTCATTCTGGAAGAGAGTAAGTTTATTGAATTGAAATTAATTTAGACATTGGAACCAGGTGAAGAAGAAACCAGGAAGACCCATGATGAGGGATCGAATGAGTTAGGTCTGTCCCTAGAGGGATATGAGAACCCATACACAGTATAATGAAAAGACAACTTTCCAGGTAAAAAGAGAGTGATTGTATTAACATGCAAGTTGTAGATACTAAGATCAGAGATACTCCGGCCCACCAGGGTATCAGATGACCAGTGACTTTTTAATTACATGTTCACTGGCACTCATGGTCAGAGCAGAGGGTATGAGTCTCACCTCTACCACACTAAGTGATTTTTAATAATGTATATAAATCCTATGCCTGTTTTTATCAGAAAAATAGGAGTATAAAACCTATTTTAGGTCTACCATATCCTAGAGTTAAGTCAATAAGAGATGACTTTTTAAGAAAAAACAAAAAACGGTTTACAAAAAAAAATAAATAAATCGAAACATTTTAACTTTTAATGCAATGTGTAAGATGCTGGATAGCTTTCCAATTTCACCTTGAAAAATGTATCCTTTAAGAAACAAACAAAAAAAAGCTGACGGACCAGTCCCCGGGCTGGTCTCAGAGGACCAGGCTCTCTCATGCCAGCTCCCATGCCTAGGTCATATCCCCTCACCTCTCTGGGCCTGTTTCCTCCTATAAAATAAAGAGTGATCTCCCACCTCGGTCCACACTTGACTATGAAATGTGGCTAGTTCGTATAAAATACATGACAGATTTCAAAGTTAAAACTGTAAAATACATTATGAATCGTTGAATATTGAGTATATTTTGAAATATTTTGCATATATTGGTTTCAATAAATCTATTATTAAAATTAATTTCACCTGCTTCTTTTTGTTCTTTGGATGTGACTACTAGAAAATCATCGTACACAGCCCTGGTATTGATCACAAGTATCCTTTTCAGCTTTATGACTCAGCCAGGGCCACCGTGGACACGTAATTCACGGTTTGATTTCCTCGCATCGAGATACGGAAGGATTGGCCGGGAATGAGGAGGCTGGGGCGGGGCCCTGCCGGAAGACACAGACCCCTCCAGCGTTGGCTCGGGCTCTCGGAGCTGGGAGGACCCCGACTCCCGCGCGGGGCTGGTGGCCGCAGCCTGGTCGGGTACCCAAGCCCGGGGCGTTCAGGGGACTCGGGGCGGGAGCGGGCGCGGCTCTCCGGGCTAGGCGGAGTCGGGAAGAGGGTTGGTGCGTCAGCTACACGCGCGGGGAAGGAAGCGGGCCTCAGGTTCCAGGCGGCCCGCGCGGGCGCCCCGGCACGTCCGCAGGCTGCAACGAGAGGTGGCGGCTTCTGAGAGGAAGGAGAGACGAGGGCGGGCCTGAGAGGCGGCCGGGAGGTGGGGCGCGCCCGGGGGCTGGCCCGCGCGGGCTTCATCTGCGGACGCACGGCCTGCTCCCGAGCGCTGGGGATTCCGAGGTGCGGCACGACTAGCGGCTGGAGCGGCTATGGGCCGCCGCTGGGGCTTCCTGATCGGCTTCTTGATCGCCGTGGGGTTGCTGGGCTCGGGCCACGGCGAGCAGCAGCCCCCAGAGACGGCGGCGCAGAGGTGCTTCTGCCAGGTAAGCGGTGTGCGCGGCGGGGCTGCGGGTCCCGGGACCCCTGCCTCTGCCTTGAGCTGCGTCCCGCGCGCCCGGGCAGGTGGGGCGCCGGAGGGAGGGGTCTTAATTTCTCCACCCTTCCGGAAGAAGTCCCCGGTGCTTTTGCTCCCTGGCCGGGGCTGGGTCCTCTGCCGCTCACCTGGGTTGGTGTGAACAGGTCCGCCACCCGAAGACCCTGAACTGATGTCAGGGCGCCCTCCCGCGCTTCTGATCAGGCTTGGGGCGAGAGGCGTGGGTGCCCCACTGTCTGTTTCTACCTAATTGGTTTGTGCATCTCTGTTGGTCTTTCCTGCCCGAGAAGCGTGCGCGCGTGCGCGCGCACACACACACACACACACACACACACACACACACTCACACACACACACACTCACACTCAGTATTTGTTCTTCTCACAGAACCTGGGTCTTTTTAACTTCCAATTTGACTTGGAACAGCGTGGGCTGTGCCTCTGCTGGGTCCCTCTCCACCCTTTCTGGTCAGAACAGACTTTTGAAGAGGGCTGCCCTCAGATCTTCCTGTCAGGCTGGAGAATGGCTTCGTGTGGTTTTTCTGTGTCTTAAGCTCAACTGCCTGGTGTCTTTGGGGCCGCGGTTGCCCCGTGTCCTTTCCTTTTCCTGAATGTAGTGGAACTCTTAGCGCGGCGTCCCTATTGCTGGTCCCAATTGGGAGACCGGTCCTCAGTGTACAAGTTTGAGAACAAGCTTATTATAATTATTTCCTTCGGTTAGTAAGAAATGTAGATTCCTTGAGCAAAATATTCAAAGAAACTTACAGGTTTTGGTATCCACAAGATGTGATATTTTAATGTCATTGTTATTAAAAGTCACCTTTTGGTTGATTTCTGTTGATAAAAATGACATTTTATACAACATTGAGGGATGGGTATCCAAATTGTTCCTTTTAAGTAGATTTTACTGTTAACTTATTTAGTTCTATTATGGTCAGTAATGGAAGGGATGGGGGTGAGAAGAGGAGAAAGAGGATGGTAACAAATAAACATGAAGACAAAAATGGAGACAAACATATCGATATGTATGTATCAACCAAATCAGAAAGAGAGATAAAATTTAAAAAATGGAGAAAGAAAAGGGGAGGTGCAAATGATCCATTCAGCAAACATTTATAAACACTATATAAATTGATCTGAGAATTTGTAATGCAGAAATACAGTGGCATAATTCCTGCCCTGAAGAGCTCACAGTTTAGTTAATCATGTTCTTTGGGACTTGAGGAGAGGCGGGGATCCTTGGTGTTCTTTTATTTTTCAGTTAGTAAATATTGCTAGAAACTAAAAAAGCAAATTTTCACCTAAGGTTTGGAAATAAAAGTTCAAATCTCCTCTGGTTCTGTTAGCATTGGCCACAAAGTCCTTTTGATTCTTTTTTTGTTGCTAGTTGTAGCCTTGTCTTCCTTCCTGTTGCCTGTCCTTCTTACCACTTCTGCCTTGAGTTACCACACCATCACTCCTTGCCACTGCTGCATGGGTGCCTGGCTTGTTATATATACATGGGGATTCTGATTTGAACCACGGCAGCATGTATTTATGGCTTCCCTGGTGTCTCAGGGGTGAAAGAATCCTCCTGCAATGCAGGAGACACAGGTTCGATCCCTGGGTTGGAGAGATCGCTGGAGGAGGGCATGGCCACCCACTCCAGTATTCTTGCCTGGAGAATCCTGTGGACAAAGGAGCCTGGGGGCTGCAATCATAGGGTTGAAAAGAATCAGACACACGACTTAGCAGTAGCATGTAGTTATTGGACCTCAGAAAGCCACTAAAGTATGTGCAAAGTTCTACAAATAATTGGACTTAATTCAACAGGCATTTATTGAGGTCTAATGTGAACAGACTTTGAGAGATCAAAAAATAAATTCGAAAATTACAATTTAGTACCAATTCTTGCCACTCCAGAGTACGCAGACTGGTACATAATTGGTGCTTAGCAAATATGTGAATGCTACACTAGTTGGAGTATATTCTTAGTTAACAATGGGTTGATAGCTCCCAATGCATTTTTTTCCCCCAGTGAATCTGTAAACTTAGTTATTGCATATGCCTGTTAGTTGACATCACATCCTAGTAAAACCATTTTCACTATATGTTGTAAGTTCTTTTGAGAATAGTGCTTCAGTTTAGTTGCCCACAATAAGTGACCAGTTGTCTGGAAGTTATGAATTTCCCTTATATACATTCCTCATCCCCCTCCTAACTGCCACTCCTGTATCATTATGTTAAAAAATGTTAAAAAACAATTTCTTACATAGAAAATTGGCTTTTTTTTAACCTTTTAGTATACAAGACAGTGAAGTCTAACACATGAACAGTTTCATGTAAAAATCCCATAAATAAGGACTCACCCTTCCTTTAAATTAAAATAGTATTGTAGCAGGTATGGGCTTGAAGCAAGTGAAGATTTTTCAGAGTTTATTTCTTTTTGACAATTATTTCCTCATTATGCACCGTTAAAGAGAATGAATATAACCGAACTTTAGTCCCAATTCATACAATCCCAGGATGCATTTTAAAGAAATCATCTCAAGAAGAGATATTGAAGCCAGGTATGGAGACAGTATGGACACCTTTTTCAGTGAAATTAATTAGAAATGTGTTTGTAAACTTTTATACTCAGAATGTTTTGTCACTCAATATAGTTAATGCTAATAAACACTCAGATCCACTTCTTTGAATTCAGTAAATCTCCATCAGGCTAATGAAAGGGGAACAGTTTGGATAATCCAAAATGGCTACATCAGAAGTGGATTATTTCTTGTTTGGAATACATTGTAGATACACTCTATGTACATGTATTTTACCTGTCTGGGTGTCTTGTTCAGGTCAATTTAAAAAAAATTGTGTTAGTCAGAGTGGCAGGACAATGGAAAAGACACTTGATAATATGTTGGGTGGTGGGTGGAAATAAAACTTAGTCAGGATTAAAACTTAGTCAGAAGGATCTTTGAAACAGGTTATATTGGAGAGATGTCCATTGGCTCTGAATGCCACCTACATTCCAGAGTTTTCTGAACAAAGCATGTGGACCAAAGTGTGTTTCACATTGGCTGCTATGCTTTGAGTCATTTAACTCCACTCTAGTTATAGCAAGATCAAGACTTTAAAGCAGAAATTGCTCTTAGTGTTTTGTGTCCTTAGAAAGTTGCTACTACCCAGGATAGAGTCTTTTTGGTGCTTCTATGCTTTCTTTTGACAGAGTTGTCCCAGTCAGCTCTGTCAATGAATGAATGCCTCTCGTATGTGTGTTCGTGTGCATGTTTTAATGGTCACAAAACTCAGTAAAATTAAGTGCAACTAAAGTTCTTTGCCAAAATAAAGTACATTTTGAGCACTTTAAAAGGTATTTCATTCAAGTATAAGGAGTATACTCTTACAGTGCTTTGCAAAAAAATAATAATCTATGGTAGGACTGGAAGTTGTTAGCACACAAGAAAACTATTTAGGAAAAAAAACTATTTTGATAGTGTTTTTTATTTTGTCTCTTGTTGCAAAATAAAGGATACCTGTATCCAAAAACTTGAGAACAAACAAACCAGTGTTATTTCTTTTCCCTTGCCTTTTGTATTTTGGAATTTGGTTCAAACCGATCGGAGTCAATGGAGAAAGTAGTGGAGTTAACTTTTGATTGTCAGCTCTGTGTTCCCTTGGGGCTACAGATGTAAAATTTTTGGAGAACTTTAACTGCAAACTTGGCTTTTTTTTTTTAAATCTTATTCATTAAAAAAAGAATGTTGTAGGGTGCTTTGGGGGAATAGTTAAGATCCCTGTCACTGGGAATATTTAGGCAGTGGTAGGGTAATAATAATTATCAACATTTACTCTGGGTCATTTTATCCTGATATGAACTCTTTGAGATGAGATCTACTATTCTATTGGGTTCTCCAGAAGTTCATTCAGGTTTTTCCATAGTATCTTATGGAAAAATTCCAACAAACTTTTTGGCTACCTCAATATTTTTGTACTCAGATAGGAAATTGAAAGTGTTAGTCACTCAGTCGTGTCTGACTCTTTGCTACCCCATGGACTGTAGTTCGCCAGGCTCCTCTGTCCATGGGATTGTCCGGGCAAGAAAATTGGAGTGGGTTGCCATTTTCTCCTCCAGGCGATCTTCCTGACCCAGGAATCAAACCCTAGTCTCCTGAGTATCCTGCACTGCAGGCGAACTCTTTACTGGTAAGCCGCTAGGTTGAGAAGCATGGGGAATATCAACAGCTGAGAAGTATCAGGGATGAGATGCAACCCCAGAAGGTCTAACTCCAGAGCCTGCCTGCTAGCCCTGTTGTTACACACTGCCTCCCCTCGAGGGCGTGTAGAAGGGGATTGCTGGGTTGCTTGGAAGAAAGCAATATAAGGCCTTCAAAGGCTTTCCTACTCTTAAGAGACCAGGACTGAATAGTGTTAGGCCTACCTTGGTCCATATATCTACCAGCCCTCAACAAGGGCCTTTCCATTGCTTCCTATTCGTTTGGCCCCCTGCCCCACCAAGGCTGATTATCATCAGTCACTTTGTGGGTGTGTTGTGGGAGCAGGTAGGGGAGTGCATTTTTTAAAAAATTCAAATTCTTATGGTAGGGCCACAGTTCTGTTTTACTTTGGGAGATAGTGTAGTGGTTGCTTATGCCTCCATAGCACATTCTGAAGTACAACATCAGCCACCCTTTTCAAACATCGCACCCATCTTTTGGTCTTAGCTTACAGGTAATAGAACTTTGCTTCATTTCCAAGGTTCTGCCCTGGGTCCATTAACTGGAGTTCTACCGTAGACTTTTCCTGAGACTGTTCTGGTAACATACACGGTTCTCTGATGTCTAGAACTGGATCTGGTATCATACCTGCTAGACTGTCTTCCAGAGATCAGGTTCTGCTGCCTGTTGGCAAGCTTCTCCGAACAGTCAAAGGGTTTGGATTTCCGAGGATCTTCTTGCCTCTCCTTTGCTGGACTCTTTCCATCCAGTGACACTCCTGTCACCCCTGTTCCACCCCCTTAGCTGCCCTTCGAGCTGAATTGTAGTTGGTAATACCTCCCACTTAATATCTAAGGTAAGAGGCAGAAGATTTCTAAATCTACCATTGTCCTGCTTTCTCTTCTCGGTGGCCTCTAGGCTATAAGCCGTCTCTGCTCTGGAGGTATCATGTGTTTCTTTCTGGTTTGGAGCTTCTTATCACTGTCTGTGTAATTAGGATGCCGATCAGCAGATATTGGACCCAGAGGTTTGTTTGTCTTTGCTGCTTGCTTTCATTGCCCTGTGAGTGCCTTTCCGCCCTTTGACCTGGCATGGTCTGGGGCACTCACTTCCATTATAGGTGACCTGAACGTGCCCAGTTATAGTTAGGCAGCGCGGTGCTGGGCTGGACAACTTTCATTCATGTATTCACCAATCCAAACCAAAAATAATCGTTGAGCTTCTACTGTGTGCTTTCTAGAAGTGCAGTGCTCAGTACCAGGTATACAAAAATGAACAAACATGAATTTGCTCTCAAGGTTCTTAACTCTAGGGAGTGGGAGTGAAATATAGATACATTCAATAGAGTGCGGTCATTCTTGTGTAGGAGTTATGTGGAGTGTGGTGGAGCTCTTGGGAGAGACCATTAACTCAGCTGGGGGTGAGTGGTACCTGAGGGGAGCTTCCCAAAAGAGAGAAGGATAGATTTTTACCTTAGAAATGGATTGCCTCAAACCCTTCCTCTTCAGTCTTTTTGTGTTTTTTCTTTTGTGATTTAATGTGACTCTCTAGCCCCTGTCCCTTTGGCCTTTACAGCCTTTGTGCCTATTATTCTTTGTTTAATAATTTGTATCCAAGGGGAGAAACAGTAGCTTATTTTATGTTCTTAGAAGTTTTGCCTTGAAAGCACAAAAAGAGAGAGGCATGAAAAATCAAATCATCTATGTTAGGAGCACTTTGGGCTTCCTTGTGGTGGTAAAGAATCTGCCTGCAATGCAGGAGACCCAGGTTCAATCCCTGGGTCTGGAAGATCCTCTGGAGAAGGGAATGGCAACCCACTCCAGTATTCTTGCCTGGAGAAATCCGTGGATAGAGGAGCCTGGCAGTCTACAGTCCGTGGAGCTGCAAAGAGTTGGACACGACTGAGCGACTTATACACACATGCACAGAAGCACTTTTGTTTTGTTGGTACCCAGAATTAGGACTCTAAGATTATTGTATACTGAGAGAATTTTTAGCAGGAAACAAGGACACATTTGCATATGAAATGAAAATAGTTATTACAGTGACAAAATATGTAGCTCAGATTTCTAGAAACTGAATTCTTTAGTCCAAAACAAATAAGACTAGGCAAATTGGATATGAAACAAACAAACAAACAAAACTTATCTCTTGAATATTGCTGTCATCATTCCAAGTATTCTTATTTCTTAGGTGAAAAATTTCCATTACTCTTTTGTGATGTTCTAAAATTAAAAGATAGTGTAGGATTTTACATATTCCAAAAGGAGAAGACTTAAATTCAGTATTTCAATGAATTATTCTTTATTTGCTTCCTTACCAATAGATTTTTAAGTTATTATTTTATTGGCAATACGTCTCCCAAAAATATAATCCAAAGTAGTTTATAACGCATTTGGGGGGTGGGTGTGGGCAAGAACGCCACTCCTTTCTCCAGGGATCAAACCCAGGTCTCCCTGCACTGTAGGTAAGACGCTTTACCGCCTGAGCTACAAGGGAAGCCTCAAAGTAGTTGCAGATATTCAGGCCAAAGTCTAAGAATCTCTTTTCTGCAGCATGCTGTACATTAAAAAAAATTAAAAGGTTACTTAAAAAAATCATAATGTGTTTTTTACTTAAGGCAATGCTTAGTTAATTCTGTTAGGCATTTGCCTAATCTCAAATAAATATCTCAGAATTTTACCTTCACAATTGATAACATTGTCTGATTATAATATGTTTTCCCACTGCATATGATTATAATATGATTTAATAATTTGATCTCTTAAATACAGTTAAGACATTGATTTTAAGCATTTGAAGATTAGGATTGGCTTTGTGGTTAATTTGCCATCTCAGTGTTGCTGATGATAAGTAATTTTTAGCATCATTTTCAAATCTATAAAAATTATCATGGCTGATATTTGAGGGTTGTTATATCCTTAAAATAAATTATTGTTTCACTTATAAATTCAGTATCATTTCTTACATTCACCAACCTTGTCTGTGACCTACACATCCTGTTTGAAACTAAAAGGAAAGACAGAGACAACTGAATTATAGGAATACTGGGTCTCAAAGAATTCAAGGGTGGTAATGCCTTCAGCAAAGATGGTAGAAGTGGGAGTAGGCAAACTCTAGGGAATTCAGCTAGCATATGTTCTCCATCTTCTATTTCTGCTTCTTTGTGTATCTTGTAGAATCTTTCCTCTCTCTGCCAGCTAGCTGGCTTACGTGTTCCTCAGTTCACATGATGGAATATGGTCTGAGTTTACTTCTTTAGTGTCAGGGGGAGACATCGCTCCTTCTTAGCCTCAATTCCAGAGTCCTGGAGTGGAGACGATGACTTGTTTTGGATTAGAAGCCCACCCCTGGTCAGTCTGGAGGGTGGGATGGGGATATGGAGTGGCTGCAGGGAACCAACCAACTCTTTGGGGGTATGTGTATCGTTTTGAGTTCAGTGCCCCCTCCCTACAAATGGTATCCACTGCATTCCTGTAGGTATATAGTAAGAGCAATAGCATTACTCAATTATGGTCATGTCCCAGCTCAGAAAATTATATGGAAGCAAGAGGCTAGGGGCTGGTTGAGTAAAGGGCTCTTTTATCATAACCATGTGAGGAAAAACTCTGTTGCATCTATGATATTTTGATATAATACTCCATTTTCTTTGTAACAGGTTAGTGGTTACTTGGATGATTGTACCTGTGATGTTGAAACCATTGATAAATTTAATAACTACAGGCTTTTCCCAAGACTTCAAAAACTCCTGGAAAGTGACTACTTTAGATATTACAAGGTATTTAAAAATTTGTGGGGTGGTATAGGAATACTTAAAGCTTAAATGGATAATTACCTTTTCTTAGGAATCACTGAGCTTCAAAATTGTGTTTATTATTTAAAATTGAGCAAGGCTATATTAGGAAAATGCAGTTTGTAAGAATGAACCATATGGTTCTGAAATGACCCATTGAATACTTTTAATTTCAAAAACTGAGCTTTGAACTCTAGTGTTAGAATCTAGCTGGTTAAATTGAAGTCAGAACAGAAACTATAATATTGTTATTGAAGTCATGAGTTGTTCATAACATTCCAAAAAAATCAGATTTGCTCCATTTAATTTAAAAAAAGAAGTATTTTTAAGAAGCATGACTTTATTCTGACCAGTATTATTTTAACAAGTAACTTGTGATGTTTTATCTTGAGATATCCATTGAAAGAGTGTAGAAAACCTGATCGTTCCAATATGCAGTACACATTGTGTTCACAATTGTCTGTTAGCTATTACTTTCATTGAAAGGCTGTGAGTTGGAAAAAAAAAAAAAGACTGTAAGTTGAACAGTGATGACATGAGCTACTTTGGCTCCCAGTTGCCATCTGTTCAGGAACTGCTTAGTAGCATATTTTGTCTTTATGACCAAGTCTACCAGTTTGCTTAGACCAGCTACACATTTATACCATCACTGAAGCTTGACAACTGGTAAATGGATGAAGTAGAATAATTGCAACTGATAACATGACCAGGTTATAGTATCATAATTCAACATCAGTCTGTTACAATCTTGAGATTCTTATTTTTGTAACTTTTCTCTAATTTTATTTTGCAGGTAAACCTGAAAAGGCCATGTCCTTTCTGGAATGATATCAGCCAGTGTGGAAGAAGGGATTGTGCTGTCAAGCCTTGTCACTCAGTAAGAACAGTTTATACATTTAAGAACTGTCACATGTTTTTTGGAATAATTGCAGTTTTTTAAAGGGTGCAATATAACTAAAATAATATTTGAATCCTTAGGTTAAATATAACATTGTTTAAAATCAACATATTTAAACTTATGACTATAAAGCCTATTTTGAATTATTCTGTCTTCATAATAGTAGAATTTAGATTTTGTGGTTCATACAGTCTGTTGATTTATTACTAAGAGTAATAAAAGCTATTGTTCTTTTGGCTTGATATTTTTATTTATTTTTTATTGGCTGTACCGGGTCTTCGTTGCTGTGCGGGCTTTCTCTAGCTGCAGCAAGTGGAGGCTCCTTTCACTGTGGCACGCAGGCTTCTCATCGTGGTGGCCTCTCCTTGTGGAGCACAGGCTGTAGGCGCACTAACTTCAGTAGTTGCAGAATACAGGCTCAGTGGCTGAGGCTTCTGGGCTCTAGAGCAGAAGCTCAGTAGTTGGAGTGCACAGGCTTAGCTGCCCCATGGCGTGTGGGATCTTCCCAGACCAAGAACCGAACCCCTGTCTCCTGTGTTAGCTGGTAGATTCTTAACCAGTGGACCACCAGGGAGGTCCCTTTTGGCTTATTATTTGTTTTTCTTATGTCTTAACTACAGTTATGTATGTAGTATTAAAAAAGTGAAATTTATTGAGGTACAAATGCAGTCCTGCAGTCCTTCCCCTTTTCTGAGGGTGCATTCATTTTCCTCCTTGGCAGGGATTTGAACAAAACCACTGGCTTTGCTTAGGAGTTCTGAGAGCATTAAAATTTGAAATATTCCACTCTGAAAGCAGAGAGTTTTACCCTTTTCAATGAAGAGATTTTTTTTCCTTTAAAAGTACATATTTTTATTTTACTTTCTTTTATTGAGATAAAATACATATAACATAAAATTTACCATTTTATTTTAGCCATTTCTAAGTGCACAGTTCATTGGCATTAAATACATTCACACTGTTATACAGCCATCACCACCATCCGTCTCTAGAACTTTTACATCCTTCTAAACTGAAACTTCATGCTCATTAAACAACAAATTCCTATTCCTCCCTCCCTTCAGCCGTGGGAAGTCACTATTTTACTTTCCTTCTCTATGAATGTGACTACTCTAGGTACTTCATGTATAAGGGGAATCTTTATAATATTTGTTCTTTTGTGTCTGGCTTATTTCACTTCGCATATTTTCCAGGTTATCTATATTGGAACATGTGCTAGATTTTTATCTCTTTTAAAGACTGAATAATATTCCACTGTCTGTGTGTACTACATTTGGTTTATTCATTCACCTGTTGATTGACTTGGGTTATTTTCACCTTTTGGCTCTTGTTAATAATACTGCTATGAACATGGATGTACAAATTATATGTTTGAATCCCTACTTTCAGTTCTTTGGGGTATATACCTAGAAATAGAATTGCTGGATCATTTAGTAATTTTTAGTTCAATTTTTGAGCAACACCATGCTATCTTCTGAATTTGGCAATAAGGAGTTCATGATCTGAGCCACAGTCAGTTCCTGGTTTTGTTTCTGTTGACTGTATAGAGCTTCTCCATCTTTTGCTGCAAAGAATATAATCAATCTGATTTCAGTATTGACCTTCTGGTGATGTCCATGTGTAGAGTCTTCCCTTGTGTTGTTGGAAGAGGGTGTTTGCTATGACCAGTGTGTTCTCTTGGCAAAACTCTGTTAGCCTTTGCCCTGCTTCATTTTGTAATCCAAGGCCAAATTTGCCTGTTACTCCAGGTATCTCTTGACTTCCTACTTTTGCATTCCAGACCCCTATAATAAAAAGGACATCTTTTTTGGGTGTTAGTTCTAGAAGGTCTTGTAGGTCTTCATAGAACTGCCAGCTTCAGCTTCTTCAGCACTACTGTTTGGGGCATAGACTTGGATTCCTGTGATTTTGAATGATTTGCCTTGAAAACAAACAGATCATTCTATCGCTTTTGAAATTGCATCCAAGTACTGCATTTCGGACTCTTGTTGACTGAGGGCTACTCCATTTCTTCTAAGAGATTTTGCCCACAGTAGAAGATATAACAAAGTAGTAGATATAACAAAGGTCCATCTAGTCAAAGCTATGTTTTTCCTGGTAGTCACATATGGATGTGAGAGTTGGACTGTAAAGAAAGCTGAGCGCTGAAGAATTGATGCATTTGAACTGTGGTGTTGGAGAAGACTCTTGAGTCCCTTGGACTGCAAGGAGATCCAACCAGTCAATCCTAAAGGAAATCAGTCCTGAATATTCATTGGAAGGACTGATGCTGAAGCTGAAACTCCAATACTTTGGCCACATGATGCAAAGAACCGACTCATTGGGAAAGACCCTGATGCTGGGGAAGATTGAAGGTGGGAGGAGAAGGGGTCAACAGAGGATGAGATGGTTGGATGGCATCACTGATGTGATGGACATGAGTTTGAGTGGGCTCTGGGAGTTGGTGATGGACAGGAAGCCTGGCGTGCTGCAGTCCAGGGATTTCAAAGAGTCAGACACGACTGAGTGACTGAACTGAACTGATGCTATCTTCTACAGTGACTATACCATTTTACTTTCTCACTTGCAGTGTACAAGGGTTCCAGTTTCTCCACATTTTTGCTAACACAGGGGCTTCCCTGATGGCTCAGATGTTAAAGTCTGCCTGCAGTGCAGGACACCCAGGTTCAATCCCTGGGTCGGGAAGATCTCCTGGAGAAGGAGATGGCAGCCCACTCCGGTATTCTTGCCTGGAAAATTCCATGGACAGAAGAGCCTGGCAGGCTGTGGTCCATGGGGTCGAGAAGAGTCAGACATGACTGAGTGACTTCACTAAAATTGCTAACACTTGCTATTTTTCGTGGTTTTTTGTTTGTTTGTTTGTTTGTTTTGATAATAACCATCCTAATGGGTGTGAAGTGATAGTGTTGTTTTGAGCAGCTTATTTGTATACATGTAAATATTGCTACATATACGTGTCTAGTATAGGAATAAGGCAAATGTAAAGTGTTATTTATGAGAATTTTATCACTAGCTGAATGAAAAGCAAGTTTTTAGTTATTTTAATCCTCATAGACACAGCATTTTGAAAAGTCAAGGGTTAACTTAGGAAATACCTTATGTCTCTATGATTAAAACATGAACATATCATTAAAATGATATCAATTTAAATATTTCATTTTATTTCATTAGTTCTAGTATTTATATTTAGTAATAGGAAAAGTATTTGAGGAGATTCAAATTTACCAAGTACTTTTTTTATATGGCTTTTTACAATGCTAAAACTATGGTGGATTCTTATTAAAGACATTTAATTGCACTTACACATTAAATGGGCTATTATTAACGTTAGTCAGAACAAGCAGTCTGGCAATTATTGCAAATTTGAATCTCATCTTGAAACAGCATTACTTGTAATTATTTTAACACAGTGTAGAACTAGGGGTTGCCACCTTCAGAAGAAGATTGGAGAGGGCAGAAAAATCTGAGAGATGCATAGCATAAAGTGATAGCTTATTGATTCCCAGGTTGACAGATTGACAGATGAAATCCATTTTACTGTAAATCCTAGAGAAAACAGCCAAGTTTAGCATTTAAGAAATGCTAAAAGTTATGATGTTTATTATCTGACTTGAGCCCACAGAAATGCTAAAATAAAATAATTCAGTGAAAGCTAGCAATTTGTACTGGGGAACTGAGAAAACCTACTTATTTCACCTTGTGTAGAACTGGAGTCAAGTGCCTTTCATGCCAATACCCACCACCCCTCCCCCCCCCCCTCCCGCCCCAGCCTTTTTTTTCTTGAACTGGGTTCTTGATGGAGAGAAGTCTTTAAAAAAAAAAAAAAGTGGGCTTCCTTGGTGGTGCCGTGGGAAGTTCCCCTTGAGAAGGAAATGGCAACCCACTCCAGTATTCTTGCCTGGGAAATCCCATGGACAGAGGAGCCTGGCGGGCTATAGCCCATGGGGTAGCAAAAGAATCAGACATGACTTAGCGACTAAACAACAACAATAACAAGATATTTATTCACCCCATAAATATTCTTATATTTTAGTGTAGCAGAGGAGTGCCATAATTAGACTGAAGATTCAGAAAGATTATTGGTAGTATTGTGGCGAGTAGGGAGCGGAAGATGAGATGGAGAAGGACTAGCAATTAGCAATTGAATGTAATTTTATTCAATAATGAATATTTTTGAGGGTCTACTATGTTCCTGGACCTGGGCATGTAAGATGAGCACTTGTCATGATGAAGTACTGGGAGAGAAACACTAAGTGATCATCTCAGTACACGAGTGATAAGCCGCTGATAGATATGCTGAAGCTGTGCGCACGAGGAGCAAAGGGAGAGTAGAGGAGAGAGCCACCAAGAAGTCCACTCCAAATGACAACGCGGGAACGAGCCCTTTTAACTCCTCTTAGGACAAGCCTGTCTCAGTTCCAATAGTTCCTAAGTAGGGCAGTCTATCACCACCAAAGAGTGATTACAAGTAATTTCAAATACTTTCAAATACTTGCTGCAGGCTAACTAATCAGCTGTCCCATCTAGCATTTTATTGTACATTACTGAAATCTTGACATCTCACTATTATATTCTTCATTATGTATCTTAAAAAGACATTGTAGGAACTCCCTGGCTGTCCAATGTTTAGGACTCCATACTTTCACTGCTAAAGGCCCGGGTTCAATCCCTGGTTGGGTAACTAACATCCCACAAGCCACATGGTGTGGCCAAAAGAACAACAACAACAAAAAGAACATTGCATCATGAATACAGAGCAATTATCACATGTGCAATACATGTACAAGGTTAAACACAGTTAACTCACTACTACGGAAGGTCTGCTGATGTTTTGTTAATACCTTTTTGAGCTAAATGAGGAACCAAGACCAGTTTCTTTTTGTCAACACTTTGGTTTCTTTTTTCAGTTCATGTATATGCTTGGTTCAGGTTATACGTTGGGACACAGTGGAGATAGAAAAATAATAAAAAATTGAAATTCTGTTCTTCCTACGGGGCTTTAATGGGGAAGGCAATGGCAACCCATTCCAATATTCTTGCCTAGAGAATTCCATGGACAGACTGTGGTGTCGCAAAGAGTTGGACACAACTGAGTAATGCAACACAACAATGGGACTTTAAAATGCACATCTTTTGATTTGCACCCGTGATTCCAGAGAATATTTGAATGAGGCAGATTGTCTTCCCATGGAGGCTGGACTCTCTCTGAAGACTTACTTATTACCCTTACAGTTAATCAGAACAATGTTCTTTCACTTCCATTATTAATTGGCCAATGTGAAAAAGAAAAACAATATTCAGTGTTAGTCCGGGAGTAAGAAATGAGCTCTCTGGTGGTTAAGTCTTTTGTAGGTTAATTAGAAAGATGTATCCAATAAAAATGGTACATATCCTTTGACCTAGCAATTCTACAAAGATTTTCACTTATAATTGGATAGATGTCCAAAGATAACCATAAAGCAGCACTGAATATTGTAAAAATGTCAGTACTGCTGAAATCAACCTATAAATTTGGCCTGGTTTATTATATGAAAAAATTAGACACCATCTAAATATCTGGTCATAGGAAAAGACTATACACTGACCTAGTACAAAGTCTAGACGAGTACACAATAAAGTGTTCATCTCTGTGTGGGTCTTTCCCTTTGGAATCTATTTCAGGAATGCACTGAATATATTTAGCATTAGAATAGGACCCTGCAATTTACAGAGCTCTCTCACATACATCATTATCTCTACTCACAGCATCACTTTGAGGATAGGTAGATAGATCCTGTGTTATACAGTGGTCAACACAGAACTAAAACTAGTGCCATTTTCCTCTGAAAAGAACTAGAGTTCCTTAAAAAATGGTTGATTCCTAGACTGGAACAAGAAATATATAAGAGCCTGGAGTATCTTGTCATAACAGAAGCAAAAAGTGCTGTTAAAGATTACTGGGGTAGGGACTTCCCGGTGGTCCGGTGGCTGAGATTTCTTGCTCCCAATGCAGGGGACTTGGGTTTGGTTCCCTGGTTGGGGAACTGGATTCTGCATGTGGCAACTAAGGTTCCTGCATGCTGAAACAAAGATCCAGAGTGCCAGCAACTAACACCTGGCACAGCCAAATAAATAGAAATATTAAAAAAAAAAAGATGACTAGGGTAACATATAAAAGATACCAGTGCAGCTAAAGACACAGGCCACATAAAAAAGGCCAGCACAGGCCAGCACTTAGCCTCCAGGTGGTTAAATATGGGACAGTTTGAGCATTAAGAATAATGGCTAAGATTCTACTTTTATATTTCCATGCTCTAATGTGTATAATCAATCCATAGCATGACTTATTGAATTTTTTGTTTATTTTTAAGAAATAATATAAAGATTGCCTAACTGTTCTCAGTTAAATATTAGCCTGTTAACTTCAGTCATTTGTTCTGTGAATTTTTCTTATAAATCATAGAACTATAAAATATTTTTTCAGAAGGTAGAATAACTGTCATCTAAAAGCATTTTAAAATATTTTTCAGGATGAAGTTCCTGATGGAATTAAATCTGCAAGCTACAAGGTATGTATATATACTTATTAATGTGTCTAGTATTGGACAAAACTAAAAAATTCACTTCCCCTACCAACTAATACGTCACTTCTCTGCTCTCCTGTAAAGTGATACTCCTTGCAGTGGCTGTAATCCTTTTTCCCTCCATTTTCTTTACCTTTTTTTTTAAATTAAAGCTTAAAAGAAAAATAAAAGTAGGGGGGAACCCCAAATTGTGTACACATCACCCAGCTTAAGGCATTACCAGTATATATGGTCAATCTTGTTTCATCTGTCCCTTCCACTCCATTCTCCCAATTATTTGAAAGCCAGTCTGAGATAAATCATTTTGTGTACAAATACTTCGTATGCATTTCTAAGACAGATGATACTTTAAAAACCCCACATGACCAAAGTCGGGGTCGGGTCTCTCTTGTTGTTTCGTAAATGCCTTAATGTATGTGCCTGTGTGCTCCGTCGCTTCAGTCCAACTCTTTGTGACCCTACGGACTGTAGCCTGCTAGGCTCCCCTGTCCATTGGATTTTCTGGCGTGGTTTGCTGTGCCCTCCTCCAGGGGATCTTCCTGACTCAGGGATCAAACCTGCATGTCCTGCGTCTCCTGCATTGCAGGCAGATTCTTTACCCACTGAGACACCTGGAAGCCCTTAATAGTCAATTTCAAATAGGATTCACACATATTCCACACATTTCACTTGGTACGCGTCACACCTAAGGTGCTATTTGACTGGTCAGTGAAGAATCTGGGAAATTATAGATTAGGTTTATGAGAAATGTGTGTGAGAAGCAGAGGGTGAGTAGTCCTAGTAGTCCTGTTTTATAGTGGCTTTATCCTTCATTGCATGGTGCAAATCAACCACTTATTACTATTTAGCACTTTTAAAATTTTACAGTGAATCCTTTTGACTGAAAGAACTAAAAGAGGAAAAAGAAAGTACATGTTTAATGAAAAATGAAGTACTGAATCTCCACTTCTCACAGCAGTTGATGATGATATATAACTCACACAAGGGTTATTGTTTACCATCCATAAGAACCTTGAAAGTATCACTGATCCTATGAAAATCAAAACACACAGATCTGCTGACAAAGCCTGAGCAGCCACTTTGTAAGTTAGTGGTTGTTTTAAGAAGAGTGTGTCTGAGACAGCTTAACATGTGCAGACAATAAATGCAGACAATAAATTTACATATCATTTTGGAATGTGTGATTGTCCATTTAGACTACATAACTGTTCTAAGTTAAAATTTTCTGATATTTTATTATGAAAATTTTCATACATACAGCCAAGTTGAAGGAATTTTCCTGTGAACACTATCATACTAATCACCTAGGTTCTACTATTAACATTTTCATAAACTCACTTTACTACATATTTGTCTGTCTGTTCATCCTTATAGCTGTCCATTAAACCATTTTATTTTTTGGATGTATTTCAAATAAGTTGCAAGCATCAGTACACATTGCCCTCACTATATGTTATTAACTAAATATATACATAACTAGAAGTATATCATTGAGTAGAGTCTAATATTTGCTTACATGTACATTTAATAAAATTGATATACAATGAAGTGCACACATCTTAAGTGTGCATTTGTTAAATGCATACACCTTTGTAACAGGCTTCTGTTTCAATACAGAACATTGCTGCTACCCTAGAAAGTTGTTTGATACCCCATCCCAGTCAATCCATACTCCTTCCCCAGAGGCAATGACTGTTCTGCACTTTTTCCATGTTAGATTTAAGCTAATTTTGATCATTTTTGATTCTGCATTTTTTATTCATACACAAAGAATGAAGTCATAGCTATTAATGTGTTGGCTTCAGTGCAGAGCTTTGCATATAATTAAATGATGCCATCATCAGCTGTTTCAAATAATCATTTCAATTCCAGAATTAAAAAAATATATATTTATTTTTGGTTGTGCTGGGTCTTTGTTGCTTTGCATGGGCTTCTCTAGAGTGTGGATGCAGCTGTTGTGGCATACAGGCTTTAGTTGCTCTGAGGCATGTGGGATCTTCCCAGACAAGAGATTGAACCTGTGTCCTCTGCATTGGCAGGTGGATTCTTATCCAATGCACCACCAGGGAAGTCCCAGAAATTGTTTGCTTTTTTTCATTCAGTTGATGCTCAAAGTAAAATTTTCAGAAGTTCATTCTGTTGGAAAAAAGCATTTGTCACTGAATGTTAGTATAAATTCTTTTAAAGTTCAAAATTGAATGAAGTGTTTGTTTTGTGGGATTGATACACATATTAAATTTTGATGAAACAGTATCCTGCTTCCCTGGTGGTCCAGTGGCTAAGACTCCATGCTTCCAATGCAGGGGGCCTGGGTTCCATTCCTAGTCAGGGAACTAGATCCCACACCTTGCAACTAAGAGTTTGCAAACCACAACTAAAGATCCCACATGTCGCAACTAAGACCTGGCACAGCCAAATAATAAAATATTAAGGAAAAAGAAATGATGTCCTGGTAAATCAAGAAATGTCCTTACTAAATCAAGGAATCTTACTAAATCAGAATTGTAATTGGTTGAGGTACATTCATAATTCATAATTGTATCCCGACATGCTGTGATATGTTACTACTTAAGATAGAAGTTACTACTTCTATCTATTTGACAATTACTATTGTCAAAATTATATATTTGTCAAAATATATAGGAGATGCTGAAGGACAGGGAAGCCTAGTGTGCTGCAGTCCATGGGGTCACAGAGTCGGACATGACTGAACAGCTGGACAACAAAATAGGATTTTGTATTTATATATACACTAAGTAATGACTATGAAGTTTTGAGGATGATGCTTATGTTGAATAAAATATCACTTTAGCATGGTAGTGGACTTTCTTTGCTCTCCATCATCAATCCAATTTTATAAATGTTTGAGCCTTTGAAGAACTACTTTCGTTAAATAGTCCAAGAATCCTTCATTGGTATTGATCATTTGTAAATAAATGAGCCCTCTAAATGTTGGTTGCATTTTCAAAATCAGTAGAGAATCATTATTCAAAGTATCTATTGGTGGACTGCTTAAAGAAAAGAACAAACAAATTTCAGCTTTTGAAGCTTTAGCAAGTTGTACTTATTATAACAAAGCTTGTAAACAAAGACCTGGATATTCATTGATATGAAAAATAGGAAAGAACTGTACATATTAAGTGAAGAAAGTTCAAATGGTATACTACATTAAATTCTGAAATTTTACAGTTGTGTTTTGATGAACACAACTCTTGATGAACTCTTGTTTTTAACTGGATAAATTTATATTCTTAGCTAGGAGGGAAGCCCAAATTCTGACCTGAAATGGATTTAAATTAAGAAAGCTTACAATTTCATTTCTATTTGTAAAACATTTAAAATAATTAAAAAATAATAATAATTTATTTGATGATTTTTGTCTTATTTATTAAAGAGATGTACTTAGAGGCAAAGAATAGAACTGTGAAAATATGTGGGCTAAAATATTTTCATGTATTTACCTGTAGAAGTAATATTTTTCTCAGTTAAAGTGAAAGTGGCTCAGTCGTGTCCAACTCTTTGCAACCCCACGAACTGTAGCCTGCCAGACTCCTCTGTCCATGGGGATTTTCCAGGCGAGAATGCCTGGAAAAGTGGGTTGCCATTTCCTTCTCCAGGGTATTTTCCCAACTTAAGGATCGAATCTGGGTCTCCTGCATTGCAGGCAGACTCCTCACCAGCTGAGCCAGGAGGGCAATCTTCTTAATTAAAAATTGTATCTTTAGAGAAGAGTCAATTGAAAGTCGGAGAAGGCAATGGCAACCTACTCCAGTACTCTTGCCTGGAAAATCCCATGGACAGAGGAGCCTGGTAGGCTGCAGTCCATGGGGTCACTAAGAGTCGGACATGACTGAGCGACTTCATTTTCATTTTTCACTTTCATGCATTGGAGAAGGAAATGGCAACCCACTCCAGTGTTCTTACCTGGAGAATCCCAGGGACGGAGGAGCCTGGTGGGTTGCAGTCTATGGGGTTGGACACGACTGAAGCGACTTAGCAGAAGCAGCAGCAGTTGAAAGTATGAATGATTTCAAATTAACCTTAAAATTAACTTTGAAGAAGATTGTGGGCAATTTTGTAAAACGTTGAAAATAATAAGCATTTTAGAAAAATTATTTTTCTTCAGAAAAAATGCCAATGACGTAGTTTTGAGACAGATGTGACTTACAAAGCTGACTGAGTTATTAAATAGGACCTCGGAATAGTTATTTTCTTTAACTTACATTTTAATATTCAGGTAATCACAATAGTAAAGTTAAACAACTTTTGCTTAAATATAGATAGGTATACTAAAATATGTAGGTGTATGTTATCTCTTGAACAAATTTTGTTTACTTTTTGATAAGTATTTTTAACTTTTTTATTTTGAAATAACTTTTAACTTATTGAAAAGTTGCAAGATTAATATAAAGATATTTGTACACTTTTTATAAACATTCACTAATTTTTAATATTTTGCCTCAACTGTCTTAGCATGCTTAAATACATAGAGTTTTTTAAATCATTTAAGAGTTATACATCGTGTGCCTTTACCCATTTATACTTAATTATGTATGTGTGAGCACATGCTCAGTTGTGTCTGACTCTGCAACATCAAGGACTGCAGTCCTCCAGACTCCCCTGTCCATGGTATTGCCTGGGCAAGAATACTGGAGTGAGTTGCCGTTTCCTTCTCCAGGGGGTCTTCCCAACCCAGGGATAGAGGAAGCTGTGGTACATATACACCATGGAATATTACTCAGCCATTAAAAAGAATTCATTTGAATCAGTTCTAATGAGATGGATGAAACTGGAGCCCATTATACAGAGCGAAGTAAGCCAGAAAGATAAAGACCATTACAGTATACTAACACATATATATGGAATTTAGAAAGATGGTAACGATAACCCTATGTGCAAAACAGAAAAAGAGACTCCTATGTATAGAACAGACTTGTGGACTCTGGGAGAAGGCGAGGGTGGGATGTTTCAAGAGAACAGCATTGAAACACGTATATTATCTAGGGTGAAACAGTTCACCAGCCCAGGTTGGGTGCATGAGACAAGTGCTCGGGCCTGGTGCACTGGGAAGACCCAGAGGGATTGGGTGGAGAGGGAGGTGGGAGGGGGGACCGGGATGGGGAATACATGTAAAAAAAAAAAAAGATACACTATGGTTGTGATAAAAAAAAAAAAAATAAATTAATTAAAAAAAAAAAAAAAGAACCCGTGTCTCCTGCATTGCAGGCAGATGCTTTACCACTGAGCCACCAGAGAAGTCCTAATTATATATAAAAAGTAATTTTAATTTTGAAAGTAGTTTTTGAGTTGAATTTTCTTTAGGTCGACCAATGTGATGAAACAAATCATTTCAAACAATTATGTTATTTCAGTTATTTCAGTGTTCGCTTTTATCCTCAAAAGAGTCCTTGCCTGGACGGTCATTTGTATGATCATCCTTACAACAAGGACATGATGGGCACTCAGTTTACATTTGTTGAGTGATTGAATCTGTGGTCTCCTGCTTCCAGTATCATCTTTTAGCTGTATGGTAGTGATGCCTGGTGGGTCGTGAAGTCTCATGATCCATACTTACTTCCCTTGTACACAGCAAGCAGAACACATATCGTGACTTTGACTTTGCAAAGAAATACAGTTGTTAAAGAACGCATTTTATGCACCTAAAGATATTGGAGTATTTTTATAAGACTCGGTAGCCTCCAGGGCATTTTTAGAATCATGGTATTTAGAGTTGAAATAGATCATAGACGCACATGATCTAGCCCAACCACTTATTTTATGGAAAAGAAAACTGATGCTCACAATTAGGTCATTAGAAAAGTGGAACACTGCCCCATGACTCCTTGCCAAGTGATTTCTTTAACCTCAAAGATTTTCTTAGTGGACATTTTGATTGTTGTTGGACTGTAAATTATTCTTTATTTTGTAAACATAATAGTAAGTTGTATTCTCCAACAAAACAAAGAGCAAAGCCTTTTACTTATATTTTAGCTTCAGGAGGAATGTGAGGCTTATTTTTTTTTTCTTGTAAAGTTTTGAAACCAAGGGGATGATGCTTGCTCTAAAAGAACCTCAAATGCCTTCGACAGTCTTCTTAAAAGTTTCTAAAGTACAATCAATTGAATTCTATTTCTTTACCTTTTGTTTTAGTATTCTGAAGAAGCCAATAATCTCATTGAAGAATGTGAGCAAGCTGAACGACTTGGAGCTGTGGATGAATCTCTGAGGTTTGGTGTTTTATTTGCAGAAGTATTTTATGCTTTTTCAGGTGAAATGTTAACTTAAGAAAAAGAGTAACTCCATTTTCTTTGTTTAAAGTGAGGAAACACAGAAGGCTGTTCTTCAGTGGACCAAGCATGATGATTCCTCAGACAACTTCTGTGAAGCTGATGGTATAACATTTTTTATACTATGCATGTTAAGATTGTACCTAAGGAAAAATATTCTTTAGAAATAATTTAAAGAAAAAAATTCTCAGTTTCTAACAGTTTGGCAGTTCCTCAAAAAGCTAAACACAGAATTACCATGTGACTTAACAGTCAAGTCCTCAGCATTTACCCCCAAAAGACTGAAGACAGTAAGGCAGATACTTGTACACCCTGTTCACAGCAGCCTTATTTGAAACAGCCAAAATGTGGAAACAACCCAAGTATCCATCAGCTGCTGCTAAGTCACGTCAGTCGTGTCCGACTCCATGCGACCCCACAGATGGCAGCCCACCAGGCTCCCCCGTCCCTGGGATTCTCCAGGCAAGAACACTGGAGTGGGTTGCCATTTCCTTCTCCAGTGCATGCAAGTGAAAAGTGAAAGTGAAGTCGTTCAGTCGTGTCTGACTCTTCACCACCCCATGGACTGTAGCCTACCAGGCTCCTCCGTTCATGGGATTTTCCAGGCAAGAGTACTGGAGTGGGGTGCCATTGCCTTCTCCTGTATCCATCAGCAGATGAATGTAAAAACACAGTGTAGTATACACATACAATGGAATGCTATTTAGCCATAAAAAGAAAAGAAGTTCTGATATATGCTGCAATATGGATAAACACTGAAAACATTAGGCTAAATGAAATAAGCCAGGTGCAAAAGGACAAGTGTCCTATGACCCCACTTACATGATATATCTAGAATAGGCAAACTGATAGAGGCAAGAAGTGGTTTTAAGCTGCCAGGAGTTATAGGAAGGAGAGTGGGAGTTATTGCTTAATGGTTATAGTCTCTATTTGAAGTCACAGGAAAGTTTGGAAACAGTGATGATTGTTGCACAACATTGTGAATATAATTATTGCCACTGAATTGCAGTCTTAAACATGGTTAAAATGGCAAATTTCATGTTGCGTATATTTTACCACAATAAAACAATTTTAAAAGAAAACCCATTTTCTGAAAAAAAAATTCACCTCCTGAGTTTGCAGTTCTGTGTACTTAGTAATATATATATTTAACTTTTGTAATATATACAGGTACTTTGTATAACCTGCTTTGTTGTACTGACCTTGGATTGTTAAATATTTTCCTTAATGATGATTTGTGTTGTTTTTTGGAAAGAAAATAATGAACCATGAGTTATGTCTGTGACATTTAAATAAAACCAAGCCAGAGCTCTGGTACAATTAAAATCTAGGAGTCCTAGAATGCATTAGAACCATTCGATTTATGGATTTTTAAATTAGATTTATAGATTCTCCCAGTCTTCCATTGTTTTTTTTTTAGTATCTCCTTTTTTGTAAGTTTACTTGTTAGCATTTTAATTGGCTAAACAAAATTAAACTGAGTTGAGTTTTTGTATCCTTCTTTGCTTCTTTTGGAACAGACTAATGATCTTTCAAAAAAAATCAGTGAAAAGAATGATACAGATCATTTTAATTATAAGCAAAAGATGAATCTTAAACACTCCCCTCCCCAAAAAAGGGAAAAGAAAAAGGGAAAGTACTCATTTTTAATTTGTGGCTTCATTTTGGAAAAAAAAAGTACATAAACTTTACTTAATGAAAACCGTGACCATATTTTAGCGGATACATATCTGTAATCCATTGTTTCTAATTCCCAAATCTGAAACTTTGAAAAATGGCTATTTTTCTCCTTAAATTTAGTGCCGATTCACTCAGTATGAATATTCATGTTTTTTTTTCATGTTTTTTTACTACAGAAATATTTATGTGTTTGTTTAAATGTTGCTGCCCCAATCTCTCCTGGAACAATACTCAACATATGTTGCATGTACTATATTACTGTTCTAAAATCTGAAAAGTTAGGAATTTCAAATCACACTTGGGCCCAAGGGTGCTGAGTAAGAACTGTGGACTTATACCTAGTATTAGGCCAATAAGGAAAGGATGAGAAAATGCTTTCCCAGCCTTAATTTTGCCATCTTTTCTGCAAGGATTCTTTGGCCTAAACATTGCTATATGAGATAAAATTCACCTTGTAACATGGCAACTTATATTTTTTTTAGGCCTGCAGTATTAGAGAAAGAATAGGAATACCTTTACCAGAGCATCCTTTTAAAGCTACATGCTTACTTTTGTGTCACAAATCAGTAATTCATTCCATATATGATGGAGTTCTGTTATCTTGGCTGAATAACTTGTCCACATATTTTTGTTTCTTCTCTTACAGGAGGGTGAATATATTTTTTTAAAAAGGACAGCTTTATAAGAAATAAATAATGTATGTAATGGTAGATAGAGGATAGGTATTTTGTAAATCTTTTTTTTTCATATATTATTTTTATTTTTCTTATAACAAGTCATAAGGTAAGCATTTGTCTTACTTAGGACTTGTTTTTTTAATAACCTTTCAGTATTTTATTTTATTTTTTAAAATTAATTTATTTTAATTGAAGGCTAATTATAATATTGTAGTGGTTTTTGCCATACGTTGACATGAATCAGCCATGGGTATACTTCTGTTCCCCATCCCGAACCCCCCTCCCACCTCCCTCCCCATCCCATCCCTCAGGGTCATCCCAGTGCACCAGCCTGAGCACCCTGTCTCATGCATTGAACCTGAACTGGCAATCTGTTTCACATATGATAATATACATGTTTCAATGCTATTCTCTCAAATCATCCCACCCTCACCTTCTCCCACAGAGTCCAAGAGACTGTTCTTTACATCTGTGTCTCTTTTGCTGTCTCGCATATAGGGTCATTGTTACCATCATTCTAAATTCCATGTATATACATGAGTATACTGTATTGGAGTTTTTCTTTCTGACTTACTTCACTCTGTATAATAGGCTCCAGTTTCATCCATCTCATTAGTACTGATTCAAATGTATTCTTTTTAAATGGCTGAGTAATATTCCATTGTGTATATGTACCACAGTTTTCTTATCCATTCTTCTGCTGATGGGCATCTAGGTTGCTTCCGTGTCCTGGCTATTATAAACAGTGCTGTGATGAACATTGGGATACACATGTCTCTTTCAACTCTGGTTTCCTTGGTGTGTATGCCCAGCAGTGGGATTGCTGGGTTGTATGGCAGTTCTATTTCCAGTTTTTTAAGGAATCTCCACACTGTTCTCCATAGTGACTGTACTAGTTTGCATTCCCACCAACATTGTAAGAGGGTTCCTTTTTCTCCACACCCTCTCCAGCATTTATTGTTTGTAGACTTTTTGATAGCAGCCATTCTGACTGGCATGAGATGGTACTTCATTGTGGTTTTGATTTGCCTTTCTCTGATAATGAGTGATGTTGAGCATCTTTTCATGTGTTTGTTAGCCATCTGTATGTCTTCTTTGGAGAAATGTCTGTTTAGTTCTTTCACCCATTTTTTTGATTGGGTCACTTATTTTTCTGGAATTGAGCTGTAGGAGCTGCTTGTATATTTTTGAGATTAATTCTTTGCTTTGTTTGCTATTATTTTCACCCATTCTGAAGGCTGTCTTTTCACCTTGCTTATAGTTTCCTTCGTTGTGCAAAAGCTTTTAAGTTTAATTAGGTCCCAATTGTTTATTTTTGCTTTTATTTTCATTACTCTGGGAGGTGGGTCATAGAGGATCCTGCTGTGATTTATGTCAGAGAATGTTTTGCCTATGTTTTCCTCTAGGAGTTTTATAATTTCTGGCCTTAGGTTTAGATCTTTAATCCATTTTTAGTTTATTTTTGTGTATGGCATTAGAAAGTGTTCTAGTTTCATTCTTTTACAAGTGGTTGACCAGTTTTCCCAGCACCACTTGTTAAAAATTATTTGTTCTAGTTCTTGAAAAATACAGTTGGTAGCTTGATAGGGATTACATTGAATCTATAGATTGCTTTGGATAGTATACTCATTTTCACTATATTGATAGATTCTTGATTCATGAATCAAGATTGATTCTTGATTCTTCCGATTCATGAAAATGGTATATTTCTCCATCTATTTGTGTCATCTTTAATTTCTTTCATCAGTGTTTTATATTTTTCTATATATAGGTCTTTTGTTTCTTTAGGTAGATTTATTCCTAAGTATCTTATTCTTTTCATTGCAATGGTGGATGGAATTGTTTCCTTAGTTTCTCTCTCTTTTTTCTCATTGTTAATGCATAGGAATGCAAGGGATTTCTGTGTGTTAATTTTATATCCTGCAACTTTACTATATTCATTGATTAGCTCTAGTAATTTTCTGGTGGGATCTTTAGGGTTTTCTATGTAGAGGATCATGTCATCTGCAAACAGTGAGAGTTTTACTTCTTTTCCAATCTGGATTCCTTTTATTTCTTCTTCTGCTCTGATTGCTGTGGCTTAAACTTCCAAAACTATGTTCAATAATTGTGGTGAGAGTGGGCACCCTTGTCTTGTTCTTGATTTTAGGGAAAATGCTTTCAGTTTTTCACCATTGAGGATGTTTGCTGTGGGTTTATTATATATAGCTTTTACTATGCTGAGGTATGTTCCTTCTAGTCCTGCTTTCTGAAGGGTTTTTATCATAAATGGATGTTGAATTTTGTCAAAGGCTTTCTCTGCATCTATTGAGATAACCATATGGTTTTTATCTTTCTATTTGTTAATGTTGTGTATCACATTGATTGCAGATATTAAAGAAACCTTGCATCCCTGGGATAAAGCCCACTTGGTCATGATGTATGGTCTTTTAATATGTTGTTAGATTCTGTTTGCTAGAATTTTGTTAAGAATTTTTGCACCTATGTTCATCAGTGATATTGGCCTGTAGTTTTCTTTTTTTGTGGCATCTTTGTCTGGTTTTGGAAAGAGGGTGATGGTGGCCTCATAGAATGAGTTTGGAAGTTTACCTTCCTCTGCAATTTTCTGGAAGAGTTTGAGTAAGATAGGTGTTAGCTCTTCTCTAAATTTTTGGTAGAATTCATCTGTGAAGCCATCTGGTCCTGGGCTTTTGTTTGCTGGAAGATTTCTGATTACAGTTTCGATTTCTGTGCTTGCGATGGGTCTGTTAGGATTTTCTATTTCTTCCTGGTTCAGTTTTGGAAAGTTATACTTTTCTAAGAATTTGTCCATTTCTTCCAAGTTGTCCATTTTATTGGCATATAATTGCTGATAGTAGTCTCTTATGATCCTTTGTATTTCAGAGTTGTCTGTTGTGATTTCTCCATTTTCATTTCTAATTTTGTTGAGTTGATTCTTCCTTTTTTTCTTGATGAGTCTGGCTAATGGTTTGTCTATTTTATTTATCTTCTCAAAGAACCAGCTTTTAGCTTTGTTGATTTTTGCTGTGGTCTCCTTTGTTTCTTTTTCATTTATTTCTGCCCTAGTTTTTATGATTTTTTTCCTTCTACTAACCCTGGTGTTCTTCATGTCTTCTTTTTCTAGTTGCTGTAGGTGTAGAGTTAGGTTATTTATTTGATTTTTCTCTTGTTTTTTGAGGTAACCTTGTATTGCTATGAACCTTCCCCTTAGCACTGCTTTTACTGAGTCCCATAGGTTTTGGGTTGTTGTGTTTTCATTTTCATTTGTTTCTTTGCATATTTTGATTTCTTTTTTAATTTCTTCTGTGATTTGTTGATTATTCAGAAGCGTGTTGTTTAGCCTCCATTTGTTTGTATTCTTAATAGCTTTTTTCCTGTAGTTGACATCTAATCTTAATTAGAAATTTGAGCTTTTGTCATCTGGCAAAATATGGTTATAGTAACTTTTAAAAATGAAGTTGGAGAGAGATGAAGTACGTCAGAGTAAAATTATGAGTCAGCTAATGTTTATCTCTAATGAGGCACAATATTAGAAATTTAATCATTCCTTGGTGGTTTGTTTTCTGTCTTAAGATACTAAATTCTGAGTATTATTTATATATTTTGAAAGTCAGTGTTATTTTTTATGAATTTATTATAATTTGCTATGCTGAAGTAATCTCTATAGTACTGTTAATAATTGAGTTGAACAGAGTTATCTGTTCCTAAACTAGGTGATTCCATGCAGATTTGTTTTTAATGTTTTTATTTTTATTTCTAGTTATTTTAATTGCTACTTTTACCTTGAACTCTCAGTTATTTCTAGGTGCTATCACTGTGCTGTTTCCAGAAGCAGATTTCCTTCTAATTTATGAGTCTAATGAACTGTGAATTGGGTTAAAAATAACCAAGCTTAGTTTATCTTAATTTTTTAAATGAGAAGTAGATACTGTAGAGAGCTTGATGGACTGTCATGTAAGCACCTTTTGGCTCAGATTTTTATCATCCACTTTGGTTGCTTTGAGGCCATTTTCACTGACTTCCTTATTCTTTGTTAGCTCCTGCTGTTAAGCTTTATAGTTGAATTAGGTATTACTGTATTATTAACTAATCCCATAAGGCAACTGGAGGACTAGTGGTCATATTTTTTTGGTTTTGTTTTAAAGTTTTAATACATTATACAAATTTATAGAACATATGAGAAACCAATATCCCATCAATTTTGGTGTGGTTTTCATATATATCTATAATTATCTTTTCTATAGTGCTTATCTTTTCATTTTATTAGGTTGCCTTTGTACTTAATAGTTCTTTTGATGGTAAAGTGGTCTATTATATATCATAATACCAGTGGAAATGGAAATGGAAGTGTTAGGTGCTCAGTTGTGTCCAACTGTTTGTGGTCCCATGGACTCTAGCCCACCAGGCTACGCTGTCTACGGAATTCTCCAGGCAAGAATACTGGAGTGGGTTGCCATTGCCTTCTCCAGAGGATCTTCTAATACCACTAGTTAATATTTATTTTACTCTTATTATTCTAAGCTTATTGTGCTTATTGTTCTAAGCACTCTGCATCTTTAAACTTCTTTAAGTCTCACAGTAACACTATGAGTATTATCCCCATTTTACAAATGAGGACACTGAGGCATAGAGAGTTTACATGACTTGCTCAGGGTTTCAAAGTCAGTAAGTAGTAGGTTGTTTGTTGTTCTGCCACTCAGTTGTGTCCAACTCTTTGCAACCCCATGGACTACATCACTGCCAAACTTCCCTGTCCCTGGCTCCTAGAGTGTGCTCAAACTCATGTCCATTGGGTCGATGATGCCATCCAGTCATCTCATCTGGGTACTCTGGCTCCAGAGCCTGTGCTCTGCTCTGTTGAACATTTAGGATGCTTCTAATTTTCCCTTTTATAAATAATACTGATACAAATATCATTCTACTTATACTTTTTTTTGCATATTTAAGATTATACCTTTGGGACAGCTTTGTAGTGGTCATGTAAAAAGGAAGTATTTGGTAACAAACTGTGTGGTACTAATATGTCTTCATTTACCTCAGTTACTTATGAACTGCTTGTGGTTAATGTGATGGGAAATGTACAGATATTCTTTGCCTGGATAGGTTACCAGAATCGAATTACTATGTTCCTTCAATACTATAATTCACATATTCCATAATTCACATAAAACCAGGATGCTTTTGCCGCTGGTGTGTAATTTAATGTGGATGTTTTTGTTCCTTCTTCTTTTCCCTTGTATTTTTCTCCCTAAAAGGTATTTTTAAGTTCCAAATGCATTGTTAACATTTGTGGTGCCTTAGAATCAATGGAATGCAGTGTGCCATACTAGCTTTTTAAGGTAACTGAGAAAAAAAGAAAGATTATTATAAAACATTTTGTTTTACAGACATACAGTCTCCTGATGCTGAGTATGTCGATTTGCTCCTTAATCCCGAGCGCTACACGGGTTACAAGGGACCAGATGCTTGGAAGATATGGAATGTCATTTATGAAGAAAACTGTTTTAAGTATGTGTCATTTTCCTTTCAAAATTCCTGAAAGATGTGTTCATTTCTCTTAATAAACAAACAGAATCATAATGACTTAAAATTACAAATCAAGTTCACTTTATTAAAGGATGTATTTGGACATAGTAACATACTCATTCATTAATCCAGTTTCCCTCTGGGGAAACATATAGACATGCATTTCAACAAATACTTCTTTCTTTTCCAAAAGACTTAGAATAGTATTAGACTTGTATGAGAGTGTTGTAGGCATTTCTCAAATGTTCCTTAAGTCGGTTATAGGATCTCAGGTGAGCTAACCTAGAGCCAGAGAGATGATATAGTTAATGCAGGGAATAAATTAGGATATATAGCTGCATATTCTTTTCAGTGCTCTATACTCCTCTTTTTTTGTTGCTGTGGTTATTTTACCTGCTTTCAAATTAAAGTTAAGTTCTCTTCAGAAAATAATTATAAATAAGCAATATTTGAGCACTTATGATGTGCCAGTTGTTGTGTTAAATACGTTATAAACATTTTCTTCCTTAGTCCTTGTAACAGCTCTGTGTTGTAGTCATCACTGTTTACAGATGGAAAAACTGACACTTGGAAAGGTTAAGTGATCTGTCTAGTGTCAAAGACATAGTAAGTGGAAGAACCCTCTTTGTCCTCCTACCGACTGCAATGGAAGCTGTCAGTTTGAACAGTGGGAGACTGAGACATGCTTCAAGTTAACCCACTTGTAAGCCTCTAGGCTGTAAACAGGGTACTTACTGAGTTTTGGAAGGGATTGTGTATGCACATGGGTATTATGCTATCTCAGAGATAGGGATAATTCTGGGAAAATTTCTGGAGTTCCCAAGTGTGGCAAAAATACTTTCCATTTTTTGTGTCAAATATAAGCATTTGAGATCAGCAGTTTCTTTTTTTGACTTGCAGAATTTCTGCAATTTAGAAAGTGGAGAGTTTTCATTATTTACTCATTTCTGCCATGTGTTTCATTTAAATTCTCTTTACTCATATGAAGAATGTTTGATTTACAGAATTTTTAGAGGTTTTTTCCCCTAATTTTTTAATATAAACTAAAATAGAGCCCAACTAAAGCATTTGTTAGATTTTGTATTAGTTATTAGTTAACTATTATTTCCTAATTGATGTATATCATTGTCCACATAATATTTCTAAAATATAAACAATATAGGAGGCACTAAAATTGAGTATGTTAAAACATAGCTTACATGTTCTGTTCTCAAAGTGTCTCAAGTTGTGCAATTGTAAAATAAATAAAGTACATTAAAATGATCCTTATACTCTAGTAGTGATACTAATGAATTTAATTTGGGATTTAAAAACATTTTAGTGACATTACTCTCTTTTTTCTTATTAAATACTTACTAAAACTTATTAAAAACCATCTTTATTGAAATTATAATAAACTTGATGGCCACAGAGCAAATTGATAGACTTAAAATTATCAAAGTGGAAAATAATCTAACCACACTGTTTTTATCCCTTTTTATTTTAGTGCTGGTGTTGAGTATTTGCCTTTTTTTCCTGCTTGTCTTTCAAATGAGTGTATTTTATGACATACACATGTATGTAACATATATAAAAATATGTTAGTAACTAGAAGAACTTGATTGGTGTTTTTTTTCTTCCTTTGTTTGAAGAAATGATTATGAAATGACTTTTTGGCTGCTACAGTGGGAAAAGATCCGCAACTTATCACTAAAACAAATAACCATCCTCCCTTATAGCAGTTAGAAAAAATAAATATTTTATAAGGTCAGTAAAACAGTTTGATTTTAGATATAGTTATTAACCAATGCAGGAGACATAAGAGATGCAGTTCAATTCCTGGGACAGGAAGATCCCCTGGAGGAGGACATGGCAACCCACTCCAGTATCCTTGCCTGGAGAATCCCATGGGCAGAGGAGCCTGTCCTTGGGGTCGCAAAGATTCAGACACGACTGAAATGACTAAGCACACATGCACGCACATAATTATTAAAAACCTTTCTGAGGTAATTTCACTTTTACTTAACTAATTATAGCACGATGGGTAACATATTTATATTTTATACTTTAATTTTTTGTTTCTAGGCCACAGACAATTAAAAGACCTTTAAATCCTTTGGCTTCTGGTCAAGGTGAGTTATTTATTTGCACTGTTATTTATCAGCTAGTGAACTTCGGTTAGAAGGAAGGAGGAGGCAAGATAAAGATTGGCAGGAGCATTTGAGATCATATATTCCTGTTTTCACAGAAGTTATGCCTCATTCTTGCAGAGAAATGGGTGTTGAAAATATTTACACTTCAGTAAGGAATATTTTTGTAATGAATTTAGACTATCATAGGATGAAGTTTAAATTATACATTTTTAATATATTTTTGCAGAATGTGTGTGTTCAGGCTGTCAGTTGTTTTTACTCATCTTTTAGTTCAATGAATATCCAAAAAACTTCTGCCTCACATCTTCCTAAAACTTGAAATTATTGTATATCTTGGGAGTCTGATTTCAAATTCAGTTGACTTTATATCTCATTAACATTTTTCATTTTCTGCTTATACTCAGGATCTGGCTTAAATGCTTCCTTGCCCACCCTGTCAATTTCTCTGATCCCCCCTAACTGGCAGTAATCTCTCTCTCCTCACAAAATGATCTTATGTATTATTTTGTTCCTCTTTCAGCTCTTTCCACTTGCTAGCATTATTTTACTACTATTTATGTATCTATTGTCTTCCCAGGTGGTTCAGTGGTAAAGAATCTGCCTGCCAAGCAGGAAACTTGGGTTCAGTCCCTGAGTCCCTGATCCCCTGGAGAAGGAAATGGTGACCCACTCCAGTATTCTTGCCTGGGAAATCCCATGGACAGTGGAGCCCAGTGGGCTACAGTCCATGGGGTCGCAAAGAGTCAGACACAACTGAGTGACTAAATCACCACCACCACCACCATGTATCTATTGATCTACTCTAGTACTTTGGACATATGAGTAGCATTTATTGGTTTCATCCCTTAGTAAAGAGCCTGAAACATAATAGATGGAATAGTTAAATGATCAATGAAAATTGCCCTCCTCATTTAATAGTCTTGTCTACAGTAGTGAAAATTGCTTGTTTCTTCAACAAATGATTATCCACTATTTACTATGTGTTAGGCACTGGATAGGTGCAGAGGGGACGTAAAATTTAAAGTCACAAACCTTGCCCAGTCTATAAGAGGCAGAACAGTTTGTTAAATAAACCATTTCAAGTATATGATTTCAGGCTTTTTCCCTAGGAAATACATAACTGTGCTTTCTGAATATATGCTTACTGACAAATTCTTTGATGTGCTTTTAGCAACTGTGGAATGGTTTTCATTTTTTAAATTTATTTGAAAAACTGCTGATCTCATAGGGTCAACAAACATAATTTACTTCTGGAAAACAGTGAGATTACATCATTCCATAAATGTTGGCAGACTAGTCATTCTTAGGTTAGAAATGAAAGAATGTCTTTAAACACGGCTTTTGATTTATATGGAGTCACATATGGTACTCAGTGGAAACTATTGATTTAATATCAGATGAGATGCAAATTCCTGGGCAAGAGATGATCTTCACTCTTATGTGAAGTCACTCACATTATGATCTGATAAGTTAATTAACCACCTTTGCTTATATTAAAGATAAATGGGAACAATGTCAGTGTTTATCATCAGGGAACTGGTTAAATATTTGAGTTATGGTATTTTTATATAGTAGAATATAGCCATTCTAAATGTTGCTGAAAATTTTGTATTCATTTATATCAGTGGTGATCAATAGTGCATTTAGGAGAAGAAGCAGGTATTAGACAGTATGTATTAAGATATTTTTTATAAAAACATAATTAGTATAATATCTGACTATCCTGTGCACAAAGAAAAAAAACACTTACCAAAATGTAAATGGTATTTATCTTTGGGCTCAGGGAGTTATGAATGATATATTTTATTTTGTCTTTGTGTTGTCTTTATAACATATATTTGCAATGAGCATCTGGTAATTTAATAAATGATGGCATTAAATAAAAGTGGCAAAATGAAGACAGTTTTTCAGTACTTAATGAGCAGCTGCATACAAACTGCTGGATTGTGCATATTTGGATCTTACACATAGTCTTTAAAAATATTGCTGAATAAGGTAAATTTTTATAACGTCAGTTCTGGGAGTTTTGAAGCAATAACACAGATCCTTAGCAGAAACTGTCTTATAGCTGTAGGATAAATAAACAAGTAAAAAGGCTCTGACAGCCAAATAACTGTGAGTCCTTGAGATATTTAAGAGTACTCTTAGATGATAGATTACATTTCTCTTTCCTGTCAGCCCACATTAAATCTTGAACAAGCTGAAACTACTCTTTATCCAGGCTCTTGGAGATGAGGCCATTTAGTCAAATTAGGCATAATTCCTTTTATCACCAGAAAGAGTTGCAGTCACAAGCATATCACTCTCAGATGTTATCTATGTGGGTGAACTGATGGACTAAAAGTAACGGAAGTGTAGCATTTTAACAGGAGCTATCTGGAAGGAGTTTTTAATAATATAACTTTTGTTTTCTTTTTTCAGGTAAAAGTGAAGGTAAGTATAATTTCTTTATCATACATGACAGATATGAATTTGCTTATATTGAGAGGTTTGTGGGCAAACTTGTTTTTTCTTCCCACATGTGAGACTTGAGAAGTTACTTTTTATTTATTTATCTAAGATGCTGACAGGGAGGCATATGTTAAGGGAAAAATGACTGTGTGCCTGGGATCAGACAGTAGAGACAGGCTGCCTCAGCCTCTGATAACTCACTCATACACTTGATGTGTGTGAAAGTGAGGCATTTCCTGCCTTGTGTCAGGGAAAATTTCTTCTTTATTGACTGAACTCTGGGATTTGCTGGGTCACCCATCGGAAGGTTCTAGGCATGATCACTGAGGAAAACAATAGAATGGGAAAGACTAGAGATCTCTTCAAGAAAATTAGAGATACCAAGGGAACATTTCATGCAAAGATGGGCTCAATAAAGCACAGAAATGGTATGGACCTAACAGAAGAAGATATTAAGCAGGGGTAGCAAGAATACACAGAAGAACTGTACAAAAAAGATCTTCATGACCCAGATAATCACGATGGTGTGATCACTCACCTAGAGCCAGACATCCTGGAGTGTGAAGTCAAGTGGGCCTTAGGAAGCATCACTACAAACAAAGCTAGTGGAGGTGATGGAATTCCAGTTGAGCTATTTCAAATTCTAAAAGATGATGCTGTGAAAGTGCTGCACTCAAGATGCCAGCAAATCTGGAAATCTGGCCTCAGCAGTGGCCACAGGACTGGAAAATGTCAGTTTTCATTCCAATCCCAAAGAAAGGCAATGCCAAAGAATGCTCAAACTGCCACAGAATTGCACTCATCTCACACACTAGTAAAGTAATGCTCAAAATTCTCCAAGCCAGGCTTCAGCAATCGTGAACCGTGAACTTCCAGATGTTCAAGCTGGATTTAGAAAAGGCAGAGGAACCAGAGATCAAATTGCCAGCATCTGCTGGATCATTGAAAAAGCAAAAGAGTTCCAGAAAAACATCTATTTCTGCTTTATTGACTATGCCAAAGCCTTCGACTGTGTGGATCACAATAAACTGTGGAAAATTCTGAAAGAGATGGGAATACCAGACCACCTGACCTGCCTCTCGAGAAACCTGTATGCAGGTCAGGAAGCAACAGTTAGAACTGGACATGGAACAACAGACTGGTTCCAAATAGGAAAAAGAGTACGTCAAGGCTGTATATTGTCACCCTGCTTATTTAACTCATATGCAGATCATGAGAAATGCTGGGCTGGAGGAAGCACAAGCTGGAATTAAGATTGCCAGGAGAAATAATAATAACCTCAGATATGCAGATGACACCACCCTTATGGCAGAGAGCAAAGAAGAACTAAAGAGCCTCTTGATGAAAGAGGAGAGTGAAAAAGTTGGCTTAAAGCTCAACATTCAGAAAACTAAGTCATGGCATTTGGTCCCATCACTTCATGGCAAATAGATGGGGAAACAGTGGGAATAGTGGCTGACTTTATTTTTCTGGGCTCCAAAATCACTGCAAATGGTGACTGTGGCCATGAAATTAAAAGACACTTACCCCTTGGAAGGAAAGTTATGACCAAACTAGACAGCATATTAAAGAGCAGAGGCATTACTTTGCCAACAAAGGTCCATCTAGTCGAAACTATGGTTTTTCCAGTAGTCATGTATGGATGTAAGAGTTGGACTATAAAGAAAGCTGAGCACTGAAGAATTGATGCTTTTGAACTGTGGTGTTGGAGAAGACTCTTGAGAGTCCCTTGGACTGCAATGAGATCCAACCAGTCCATCCTAAAGGAGATCAGTCCTGTCCTGGGTGTTCATTGGAAGGACTGATGTTGAAGCTGAAACTGCAATAGTTTGGCCACCTGGTGTGAAGAGCTGACTCATTGGAAAAGACCCTGATGCTGGGAAAGATTGAAGGCGGGAGGAGAAGGGGACGACAGAGGATGAGATGGTTGGATGGCATCACCGACTCAATGGACATGAGTTTGGGCAAACTCCAGGAATTGATGATGGACAGGGAGGCCTGGCATGCTGCAGTCCATGGGGTGGCAAAGAGTCAGACACGACTGAACAACTGAACTGACCTGAGACATGATCAGAGTGTTGATCTACTGGCTTCCAAGCCTGTGCTGATTCTTGTGTGTAGGTATTATTGCCAGCTTTTTAAGTTATTGTAATGTGCCAAATTTTAACATATTTTAGGTTTACAGTGTCTTTTTGAGAATATTTTTGCTTTATGAGTAAGATTGGGATGATTTTTGTTATTCTTAAGGCCATATGCGTAGCAATATGAGAAGACTCAGCAGTACTTAGCTTTACTGTAGGTAGATGAGATTGTTAAAATGTGTCAGTTTTCTCTCACTCTAACTGCTCTTCTTTTTAAACAAAATTTTATTTATTTGTTTTTGGCTGTGCTGGATCTTTGTTGCCATGTAGGCTTTTCTCTAGTTGCAGGAAGCAGGGACTCCACTCTAATTGTGGTGCGTGGGCTTCTCATTGCGGTGGCTTCTCTTGTGGCACTGGGCTCAGTAGTTGTGGCTCCTGGTCTCTAGAAGTGGGCTCAGTAGTTTTGTGCATGGGCTTAGTTGCTCTGTGGCATGTGGGATCTTCCCCTACCAGGGATCCAACTGCATTGGCAGGTGGGTTCTTTGCCATTGAGCCAGGGAAGCCCCCCATATTCTCTGTCTTCTGAGCATTATTTTTATGGGTTGCCTTTACATTATGTCTAAGTAACAGAATCCTGAAGTCTTATAACTTTGCTCTTTTATTATTATACTTTATTTTATAGTAATGGTAGCAGCTAAGTGAAATCCTGAATCATAACTATACTATTTGGAAGAGAAATTCTTTAGCAGTATGATTATTTTTGCAAAGCTGTTCTCATATTTTGTTAGTGTTAGTGGTGACCCTATAATTTCCAGATATGAATAACTTTATTCCACCTTGGGTGTTCCCAGTTCTATGCTATATTCTGGCTACATTAAAAGAAGCTATTTCACCAGTGCAGACAGCCCTTCCTCCTGGGCCACGGGGCATGGACAGAAAGGTGGCCGCCCCCTCGCCCATCATGCACCACACATTCGTGGGGAACCTGGTGCTGAACCATTGGCAGACGGCCTGCCTCTGGGTCAGGGTTTCATATGTAGCAGAGCAGCTCACTCACTGCTATCTACTGAAAGTCAGCCCTCCACACAAGGGTTTGTAAAAAAAATTTAATAAAATAAACAAATTTTAAAATAAAAAAAAGAAAAGAGAAGCTATTTCAGGTTTTTAATACCATTTCAAGATCTTAACCTATCTCATTATCAAAGTGTAGGTGGTTAACCTGTAGAGGCTATCCTTAGACAAAGCATCTTATTTATAAGTGTGATTTTAAGTGTTCTTTCTGGGAAAATATGAAAGCGGTCATATTAGGCGATTATCTAGCTGGATCATGTTCACAGACAATCTACTTCAGGACTACAAAACTAAATGAAAATTTCTTTGGAGGACTAAGTCCTAACTTAAAAAAAAAAAAAAAAACCCAAAACATAGAGGTTACCAGTAAGGAAACAAATCACTTATAATCCCACAACCCCAAAATAATTGACATTAATTATGGCTAAGAAGACATGCCAGTACTTTTCAAAGTAATTTGCAAATATGAATTTATTTAATCCTTCCAACAATCCTAAGACATTTTGTTAGGATTTTTACTTCCATTTTTATAGACAGAAAATGAATCCCAGAAAGGTTCAGCAACTCAGCTAAAACCACATGATTTGTAAGTAGCAGAGTTTGGGATTCAAATCAGGCAGTTTGATTTCAGGGTCTATGCTTTTAACTACTTCATACTGCTTCTCTGCTAACATTTTGATAATTATTATTATTTTCATGTGTATACCAATATTTTTATAATATATACATTATTATTTTATATATTATTATTACCATGTCAACTTACTTCCTCAGCCTGTGTCCTGATCAGCTCAGGCTGCTCTAAAAAAATACCGTAAACTAGGTGGCTAAAATAAAAGACATTTATTTTCTCAGAGTTCTGGAGGCTTGGAAGTCCATGATCAAGGTGCCAGCAGATTTGGTTCTTGGGGAGGGCCCTCTTCCAGGCTTACAGATAGCTGTAAAGATACTGATTCCATCATGGTGACCCCACCCTCATGTCCTCATCTTAGCCTAGTTATTTCCCCAAGACCCACTTCTAAATACCATATGGTGGGGGAGAAAGGGGAGTTTAGGGCTTCTACATGCGAATTTTAGGAGGGGACACAAACATTCATCCATAACAACTTAGATTTCTAGAAATGGATTTACTGGATCAAAGGATAAGGGCACTTTAGGTGCTTGATACGTATGACCAGATTCTTTCTGTCATTGAAAGGGTGTGCTAATTTACACCCCTTCCACTCATTTTGCCACCTAGTTTTACCTAACTCTTGTCTAAATTAAGTATCTTATTTCTTCTTCACTCTTTAAAGTTCTGTCTTTACAGTTTTAATTTGCATTTTAATTTATTTTTTTATCAAGGTATAATTGATGTATAATATTATATATTTCAGGTGTACAGCATAGTGAGTCAGAATTTTTAAAGGTTATATTCCAGTTATAGTTATTTAAAAATACTTGCTTTGTTCCCTGTGTTGTACAAGATATGCTTAATTTGCATTTTTATTATTAGTGTGACAGAACAGTTTTTATCTGTTACTACCATTTGTGTTTTTCCTTTATGGATTCTCTGTTCATATTATTTGCCCTTTTTAATGGGTGCTTTAGCATTTTTATTTGGTGTATGAACTTTTTATACACAAGATATTATTCTTTGTTGCATTTGCAACATACATTTTACTCAGTTTGTTTGCCTTTTCCTTTTGTTTATAAAGTTTTCTGACACAAATGTTTTAAGTTTTTATGTGATCTGTAAATATATAAATGTATATTTATTCTATTTGTCATTTCTTCCATTACTTTTATGCTTGTTTGTTGATTATTAATATTACTATGAACAACTTTGGTGAAAAGGTCCATATAGTACAATGTTTGTCTTCTCTAGTAGATATATACATAGAATGTTCACATAGGTATAATATTTCTTATGCCTTTTTATGTATTATTTCAAACAAACATTTTCATACATTGTGTTCCACATGCTTGTCATTTTAAAGTTTTATACTATTCAGTCATGTTAACTTGTACATAGTATTTTATCATGTTAGCTTAGGCCTTGTTGTGCATTTTGGTTATTTCGGGTTTTAAAAATTATGTAGAACATAATCATCTTTCTACGTATTATCACCCCACCTCCATTTTGAGTTGTTTCTTTAGAGCATAATTCTAAGAGCAGAATTATCAGGTCTAAGTATATGAACAGTGATTGCTGTAGGCCATAGAATATAAGTGACATTTGGTTTTTGTAACATTTCCTTAAATTGTTCTTTTGAAATATGGCATGACATAAAATACTATCAGTTATAGACAAATAATATACTTCCAATACTATTTTATAATTTTGACTTCTCTCATTTTAAAAAGTGTATAATGTGTTCTTAATTTTTATAACATGAATTGCTATTAAGGCTAAGTATTTTTCCATGTATAGATTTACTATTTAATTTCTGTGTTTTGACCTCATATAAAACACTTTATCCAGAAAGTTATAAGGCTAGGGAGTTATAAGGCTAGGGCCACCTAAGGCAATGTTAAAGCCTTCTGAAGACTGAGCAACTGAGTGGCACTTAAAGTGAATCCATACCAAGAACCTTTCTCCTTTGCAAATAAGACTGGGACCTTTAAATTGCTCTTTGGCACAAAGTTGCTATAATATTTTAAAACTTTTGAAAAATGTATATTTGGGCATTTTTACAATTTTATAACTTATTTTTCTTTTAATTTCAGAGAATACTTTTTACAGTTGGCTAGAAGGTAATTGGACACTTTTAAACTAATTTTTTTCATTTTAAAATACACATAAAATTAATTTTATATCTTACAAGTTTCACATATGAAATTTCTATTTCCAAATTACCTTTTGTAGGTCTCTGCGTAGAGAAAAGAGCATTCTACAGACTTATATCTGGCCTCCATGCAAGCATTAATGTGCATTTGAGTGCACGATATCTTCTACAAGGTATATAATAGTCACTTTTATTCACTTTACTGCACTTAATTTCAGGTATCCTTAAAATTTTCTTGGTATTTACCTGGATAGGAAAAGATTGGCCCTGTTGAATAATAGGCAGGAAAAATTTATTCCTAAGTGGCAGTAATCAGGAATGTGGGAACGGTGGACATTATCAGGAAAAGTTCAGCCTATTCTTATCAGTCTTCACTTTCTTTTAAGAATCTGCTCAAAATCACACACATCACTTTGGAAATGTTCTTTTGTTTTGTTGTGGGAATTAAAATAGCTCCTAAGAGCACAGTTGTTTTCATTAGATACTACTGTATCTGAATCCTTATGTTTGCATGTCAGCTTCAGGCCTGTAGTTTAATGGGTAAAAGCGTTTTGGCTGCTCTTCATGCTTTACAAGGCTGTTAAAAAATGAGACCATGTTGGATTTTCATCAGTAACATGTTTATTCTAGAATTAAAGTATCTCTTACTTCTTAGAAACAAAATCATATTAACTTTAATTAGGACTTCAAACTCATTAGTAATTTCAGATAGTCATCTTTGACTTCTGTATCTTGGTTTTATGAATATATTTATATTTAGGAATTTGATTGGATTAGTCCTGGTTTCTCAGTAAAATAATTGAGTTTATTTTCCTTTTAAGTATGGGTTCTAGAAGATAAAATATTAATATGAAACTGTTAAAGGCTCAATTATGTAAAGCAGTTTTCATGGTTGTATTGATTATACATTTTAAAATATAAAATAAAATTAGCTTTTGTAAGCATAAATAATCTAAGTACAATGAAACTTAATTTTAAAATTTAGTTTTTAATATTTAATTCTTTCTTCTCAGATACGTGGTTGGAAAAAAAATGGGGACACAACATTACAGAATTTCAACAACGATTTGATGGAATATTAACTGAAGGAGAAGGTCCACGAAGGCTTAAGAACTTGTATTTTCTCTACTTAATAGAATTAAGGGCTTTATCTAAAGTGGTTCCATTCTTTGAGCGCCCAGATTTTCAACTCTTCACTGGAAATAAAGATCAGGATGCAGAAAACAAAATGTTACTTCTGGAAATACTTCATGAAATCAAGTAAGTTGTGCATTACAACTCATGCAACTTATATATTAATAGAAGAGTGACAAGTGATATCCAAAATTAAATTCTTAAGTAATCAGCTTAAAGGAAAATTATCTAAAAAATAATTAAAAGCTAATTTTGCTCATAGGTCTTTTAAAATTGAGTTTTGGTTTTATTTTCATTTTGACTTATGAACTAAGAGGTGCATATTTTTAGTTTTAAGAACCATTCTTTTGCTATTTGATACTTGCATTGTTTTTATATTTAGTTGAACAGGTTGGGTTTGGGCCCTAATTCTACTATGTTATACAGTTAGCTTTTATATTTGAGGATAAGAATTTGTTTGAGGGCATCAAAATTTTGATTTATACTATCTGTTCTACTCTATTGTACTTGTATTATTCACCACTGACCAGCAAAATGTTATATTAGCAGGACTTTTAATATTTTATAATACATGAAAATGACTTTGTTTTATTCAGAGAATATGTTTTATTTAATGCAGGTCATTTCCTTTGCATTTTGATGAGAATTCATTTTTTGCTGGGAATAAAAAAGAAGCAAACAAACTAAAGGTAATAATTTTATACTTTAATTTTTAAATGTAAACTCATATGCAGATATGACTATAAGGCCATGTTTTATTCTTAACAGTAAATCCGAATATACATCTTGAAATTATAAGAAAAAAATCAGAGTCATAATCTTTCTTTTCCTCAAGAAAAAGAGGAAGTCCAAAAGCAGATCCAACTTAAGATTTAGTTTGTATTGTTTTCAACATAACAGCGGAAATATGTGTGTGAATGTACTCTTTACAGAAGGTTTTCATTTCACACTGATTCTCTCGTGTAGTAAATAGAGCTTATGAATGAAAGGAAAGGGATCTAGAGCTGGAGAAGCAGAAACTGTCTTCTGTTGGAGAGAATTCTGAAAATAGTTTTGGCTAAATTATGGGATGCTCTTTAGAGGGAGAGGGCATAGTGTTGTTTTGGCATTCCTTTCATCCCCTGGGAACTAAAGGCATTTAGGGCTTCTTAGGTGGCATAGTTGGAGAAGGCAATGGCAAGCCACTCCAGTACTCTTGCCTGGAAAATCCCATGGACGGAGGAGCCTGGTGGGCTGCAGTCCATGGGGTCGCTACGAGTCGGACACAACTGAGCGACTTCACTTTCACTTTTCACTTTCACGCATTGGAGAAGGAAATGGCAACCCACTCCAGTGATCTTGCCTGGAGAATCCCAGGGACCGGGCAGCCTGGTGGGCTGCCGTCTATGGGGTTGCATAGAATCAGACAAGACTGAAGCGACTTAGTAGCAGCAGCCCCAGGTGGCATAGTGGTAAAGAATCCGCCTGCCAATTCAGGAGACACGGGTTCGATTCCTGGGTTGGGACGATCCCCTGGTGAAGGAAATGGCGACCCACTCCAGTATTCTTGCCTGGAAAATTCCAGGGACAGAAGAGCATGGTGGGCTACAGTCCATGGGGCCACGACGAGTCAGACACAAGTGAGTGACTGCACACACAAAGGCATTTAGGTACGTCGGCAGGCAGTCCTGGAAAGAACAGAAGACCTGAGATCACACAGGATGGGTGTTGGTCTTTGTCTTGCCTCTTAATGGAGGTATGAATCCAGGCAAGACCATCTTTGTGCCTATTTGCCTCAAAATACAACAAATAAGAAATTTCATTGAAAAGATTTATTAAACACTCTTTGTGTGTGGAGTGTGATTTTTGTCATTAAAGGGAGAGATGGCTTCCATCCTCAAGGGATATCTAAGTCTTTTTGAAGACTTAGAAGGGCTTCCGTTGTGGCTCAGCTGGTAAAGAACCTGCCTGCAATGTGGGAGACCTGGGTTTGATCCCGGGATTGGGAAATTCCCCTGGAGAAGGGAAAGGCTACCCACTCCAGTATTCTGGCCTGGAGAATTCCATGGACTTTACAGTCCATGGGGTCGCAAAGAGTGGTCGCAAAGAGTTGGACACGACTGAGCGACTTTCACTTTCACTTTGAAGACTTAAGTAAAATTATATTGTTCTCAATTAAAAAGCTATAGGTAAGTAAAGCAGGTGGTCCTCAGTAGAAGTGGGCTTGATGTGGTTTCATCAGAATATTTATGACAGTCTCCCTTTGTTTCTAATTTTTTGTTTCTTTCGATATTGAAAGAACCTGATTTTTCATAGCTTGCAAACAAAATACTTTTTGCACTCTTGTTTTTTTTGCTGTTAGATAATAGTTATTTTTGAATGCCCATCTACCTCCTACTTAAAGCATTCTTGCTAGAAATACATACCTCAGTGCTTATATAACCTACCAAACAGCTTCCAGGAACTTAGAAGTGAGGGGAAGATGCTGTAATGACTTTTTTCCCTACTATTTTTGATATCGGTCGGTCTTATTTTTAGTAGACTTTCTGGTTTATGGAGAGAATGTTTTGACATCTACTTGTTTTATATTGTGCAGATTAGAAATATTTCTCACATTGTTTTAATTTTATCAAAACTCTGAAATACTCAGCTTTGAGATCCTATGAAATTTAACAAATAATTTTTCTGAGTCCTTTTACAAGAAAAGAATAAAACACCAAGGAAACTTGTTAATATCAGTATTTACTTTTTTTGAAATTATGGTTTATAGTGAACATCATGGATTTGAATAGTCACATAAGATTATTTTAATACCTCTTCTTGTCTCCTTTACACTCTATCAGTGTATGGTTATAAGTAGAGGACTTGTATGAAAGAGAAGTGTTCAGTGTTCACTTCAACATAGAATAGGATCTCACTTGAAGGCTTATAGAACATCTGAGAATTGGGTGAGAATTGTTTTTTGGCCAGTTGGTTTCATTGAATATAGATCAATGATCAATGTGGTTAAACCACAGAATGTTTGATCATTCTACTCACTGACTGTAATCTTTAGTATTGATCTTAAAACTATGTATATGAACAAGGAGAATTTTTATTTTATTTTTATTATTTTTTTAATTTATTTTTTTTTCCATTTATTTTTATTAGTTGGAGGCTAATTACTTTACATCATTGCAGTGGTTTTTGTCATACATTGAAATGAATTAGCCATGGATTTACATGTATTCCCCATCCCGGTCCCCCCTCCCACCTCCCTCTCCACCCGATCTCTCTGGGTCTTCCCAGTGCACCAGGCCCGAGCACTTGTCTCATGCACCCAACCTGGGCTGGTGATCTGTTTCACCCTAGATAATATACATGTTTCGATGCTGTTCTCTTGAAACAAGGAGAATTTGTAAGTGACTTAGGGTCTGTTTATTTTAAGGCTAATACATTTTTCTAATCTGAGTTAATTTTAGAATGTACTCAGGTTATTGGACATTGATTGTTATTTGTGGAAGTCATAAGGATTTTCTCTTTGTTCTGGTCTAGTAAACTTCTAGCTTATTAATTTGGTTCTTTTATATTATGTTCATTTAAGCATTTGTGCTTGGTTTTAATTTTGCAATATTAGTTTGACTCTTGTTAAGCAACCACATTTATTCTCCATATATGTCGTACAAAGACTCAAGAGCTGCTCCATTCAAGTATTTGAATTAGTGAACATAAATTCAGGTAACTGAGTTTAGACACTGTGTACAAAAGCATGCACATTGTTTAGAGGCTTCCAAGCTTTAAAAGTATCAGTCTAAGTCAAGAGCTTTCATGCCTTTCCACATGATAATAGTGTTTTATTAGTGAAAATATAACTGCCAAAATCCATCATGCATTTATTGACACTTGTAACATAAAAGCTGTGTCTTATTGACCATGACATTTATATCCATTTGGAAATTTATAGTGTGTACATGTGAGCTATTTGTTCTGTCTGTATACAAATCCTTGTCTACTCAGGGATTTTGTAGATTTTTACACCAACTATAAATCCTCCAGAGGTCAGCACCTATAGGATGGGAACATCAACTTCAGAGTAATTTTAGTGCTCTGTTTCTGTTATTCTTATTAAAAGTGTGAGTATTCTTTAATTTGAAGTTGAAATACAAGTTTAAAGGAAACCTCAAATCACAAAAAATCTAGAGTAGTATTGCTGGGTAAATATTTTTTAAAACTAAGTTGAAAATTAGAATTACTTCTTACTTATTCCAAAGGGTATAGAAACACACAATATAGAATATTGCTAACAAGTGGTAACATTTAATATTAATAATTTTGGCTTTGTATTAAATTAATAAGGTATAAGACCTGGGACCTTATTATAAATCTTTTACATGATACAGCTGTTGACTGTTTCAAAGTCTCAGGCTGAATGACGTATCTGGGGAAAGACTGTCTCCAGAGTGAACTGAGGTCTGCTTTGAATAATAGGTTCCAGTCTTTGCTGATTTATTCCCATTTTTAGATCTTTGCTTATGTTCTCTTCTGATTGAGCTCAGTGTGTGGTTTAGCACAATAAAAACAAGCAAACAAAATATTATATACTTACCAAATTATAGGCTATTTGATATAATGAATGTTTCATCTGAAATGTATGTCAGATTTCCTGCTTCAAGTACTGTAAGCCTGGGATTCCACTGTAAATTCAGGACAGGGGAGTCATTGGCGAATTAATTAATAATTTCCACTGGTGTGAAAGAAGGATATGTTCTTGGCTTCCTTTCTTTCTTCCTTACCCCTTAAAGACATACATTGCTTTTAGATGAGTTTAATGAGTTTCTCTCTGAAACTTGGTGGAGGGTACATGGATTTCACTATATTCTATAGATTTTTGTATGATAATAAAGTATGTATGATAATAATAATAAATGGTAAAAGATCTGGTTGTTTTTCCTAATACCAGAGAGAAGGGCTTTCATTTAACTATTATGAAACCAAAGGTTTTTACTTGTTCCCTCCATTATTTATTCCTTTCTCCCTTCCTTTTTTTCTTTTTTGGTAAATGATGTCATACAACCTCTGCCCTTCCCCTGATATTGACATATGGTTAATAATCACATACAATAGAACTCCTCAACTCAGTTACTTTGTGTACATTTACAGACAGTCTAGTTTGGGAGGCAGGCAGTCCTGGGGTTTGGATTTACTATTTACTAGATATGGGAATTTGAGCAAGTTACCTAGCTTCTCTGGACCTTATGTTTTTAATTCATTAGGTGTAGATTGTAATCATACCTTGGGCTTCCCTGGTGGCTTAGCTGGTAAAGAATCTGCCTGCAACGTGGGAGACCTGGGTTAGATCCCTGGGTTGGAAGGATCCCCTGGAGAAGGGAAAGGCTATCCATTGCAGTATTCTGGAGAATTCCATGCACTGTCTAGTTGGTGGGGTTGCAGAGTCGGACATGACTGAGCGACTTTCACTTTTGCATTTGTGGTGAAGGTGAGATATAATTGCATATGTAAAGATTGTGGTGTGTAGGAGGTGTTCCGTGTACACTGATTTCCGTTTTCTTCCCTTCTTTGGTGCTCTCCAGTGCCTTGCACGCAGTGAGGCACATAGAAGGCACTCAGAGATACTTAGTATTTGACCATATACTACATCTTAATAAAATTTTAAATTATTCTTAGGAGGACTTCCGACTGCATTTTAGAAATATTTCAAGAATCATGGATTGTGTTGGTTGTTTGAAATGTCGACTGTGGGGAAAGCTTCAGGTAAGCATATCAAGCTCAATCCTGTTTTCTTTCTTTGCACAAGGAATTTTCTGATTTTTCTTTTTTTCTTATTTCTATTATAGACTCAGGGTTTGGGCACTGCTCTGAAGATCTTGTTTTCTGAGAAACTGATTGCAAATATGCCAGAAAGTGGACCCAGTTATGAATTCCATCTAACCAGACAAGAAATAGTATCATTATTTAATGCATTTGGAAGGTTAGTTTGCACCAAAATTTTTTTTTGCTAGCCAAGTAAGTCTAATACAACACATATACTCTCAGATAAAACTGGGTAGGAAATATCCTGTTTAGTGAAATTATCTCACTACAAAATTCTGTGATCTTATGAAATACTTTAACTTTGTAGATATGTGCAATCATTAGATGATATTCTTTATTGTCACCTCTTGATTCTTGTAATCATTATTAATTCACTGAGTGCTTCAGTATTCATCTTAGGGAATTTGTAAATTTTTTCTAATCTATAGTGCTACCCAAATGTTTTTTTGAAGGTCCTAGAAAAAATCATGTTGTGTAATGTAGGTGTACATATAAAATTTGTGAATTTGCCATTGTGTAAAAACATGCTTTTAAAAATAATTTTCACCAAAATGATTAGAAAATAAACTTAAAATTAGGAACTTACATTATAAAATTTAAGTACAGATGCATTTCCTCCTGGCCTATCATATCTAAAGAATGCAGAGGTTTATTAAAAAAAAACAAACTAACATTTTCTAAGGACTATATTTCTTCACTTAAAAAATCATGATTTAATAATTGACCTTCAAAATTATTCTTTAGTACACAGATGCTTGACAGTTATATTTGAGTATTTTGCTGTTTTTTTCATGGTGTAGAACAGAGCTAAAGTATACTTAAAATAACAAACTTTTTATAAAAGTCAGTGAAAACAATTTGGTCACACGTTTACTGTTCTCACTCTTTATAGTCCAGAGGCTTTGAGTCTTTGTATATTTATTTAATAAATGTGGTAAATTGATTAGTTTAAGTGTTCATATAGTTATACATATTTAAAATACATATTTTAATGCTTATGTACTTTATAAAGTATATACCTATACTTTATATATAGGTATAAAGTATATACCTATATATTTTAAGTACTAAGCATATGAATATACTTATGAATACTTAAAAATACAATACTTATGTACTTTATAATTTTGTACTTTGAAACTTTAAACTTAGTTGTGACTATAATTAAAAATAACTGATTTTGGGGGAATGTTATCTTAGCTTTAATATGTCAAATTAAGAACAAAAGTGCATCAAAACAGAGTAAATGTTTTATGTACCTTTATGTTCGTTGAAATAAATTAACATTTTTTTTCTGTGTTCTGAAAGTGCAAAGTGAATAACTTGTAAAGTTATCTAAAATAGCTTCTGAGTGAAATTTATTTTGTTTACAGAATTTCAACAAGTGTGAAAGAATTAGAAAACTTCAGGAACCTGTTACAAAGTATTCATTAAAGAGAGCAAGCTGGAAAGTGCCTGTCTCTGGACAGTGGAGGCCAAAGAATGGAATTTCATTCAAAGGCGTAAACAGCAATGAGAGTCTTAAGTCAAACATTTTATATAAAGCTGCTTTTGTAAAAGGGAATTATGTTGTTTTAAATAACAATTTTTTAAATTGTGTTAAATCTATGTGTAACATTATTGTGAGTAAAAGTAAAACTTTGATAATGTGGTACATCCTTAATGTTTAATATTGAGTAAAATCATCAGGATTATCAAATCCACATAAGGTAAATCTAAGTAAATGATGTTTTAAGTCTCTCAAACTAGAATTTTGTGTAAGAAGACATAATATAAATTAAACTGTGGCCAATGTGAAAAGTGCTTATAGGAGAATGTTATGACCCATTATTAACAACCTAAATTACTAACAGCCTAAATGTCCAACATTTAGGGTGAACAGATTTGGTGAATAAAAATACAGAATGCCTCGTTAAATTTGAATTTCAGATAAACAACAGTTTTTTAATATAAGTATGTTGCATGTAATATGGGACAAACTTATACCAAAAAATAATTCCTCCTTTACCTGGGATTTACCTGGGAGTCCTGTGTTTTATTTGGCAACTGTACAATACATTGGTATGAAACAAATCACTTTTAGAATTATTTTGCTATTTTGATTGGCTTATTTTGATGTGTAGAAAGATACAGTGATAATTCAAGGGTATAAGGGATTTCTAAGCAGTGTGAAAAGTTGAATAGATTTATATATTTATTCTCATAGTACTTTCCCTGATTCTGAATAAAAATTTGGGGAAACTTTTTATTTTTATATAATTTCAAATTTATAGAAATGTTTCCAGGATAGTATCAATACAAAGAACTCTTTACCAGATACCTTAATTGTTCATATTTGCTTTCTCTCTCATGCTTTCTCTGCATATATACATGCATATACTATTTTTTTTTTCTCAGTCATTTGAAGAGTCAGTTATAGGCATCATGTCCTTTGAACCATGTGTAATATGAATAAGGTTTCAGTGATTTTTTTTTTTCAGGAAAAATATCTGGAACTATATACTACTATAAGCCTTAGAATAAGGAATCATTTTGAGTTCCAACCTAAAATTCTTTTTTGAATTTTGTTACCCTTTTAATGCTGTATAGTCATAGGCATAAAATTTGGGGGTTTTGTATGTGATATTCATTTCTTTCTTCTCCCCATAACTGTAATTTTTAGAAGTCTTGAAGGGAAGATCTTCAATGATAAAAAATATTTGAAGGGGTTTAGGAATTTATAGCACATGGTAATTGCAGGAAAAAGGGAAATGTATACCTCAAAATCATGGGCCCTTTCTGTATGTCTTAGCAGGTATATCAGGTTGAGATGTAACATTATTAATAAAGCAGGGTTTATTTATATAATGGCTTAGAAATGCTACTTAACACTACTGTACGCTTTTTCTTCTTTATGTCCCTACAGCCTGATACAGTGTCAAGCACATAGTAGGTGTCCAATAAATATTTGAGTGAATGTATGAAAATGTATTCAATATATTTAAATTAATTATCACAGAACTAAGTTTAATAATATATGTCCTATTTCCTTTCCTCCCTAATTTGAATAGGGCAGGAAAAGAAAGATATTAACCTACTATGAAGTCAGTATTCTTAGAGACTCAAAAGACTATGAAGTGAGCACCAAATATAGAAGTGTAAGGACGTTTGTGGTACTCTGAAAATTTGGTAGATGGGTTTCAGTGGTTATTTTGCCTGTGTAATTCTTTAACTCTCATCTCATGTCCCTACTCTCTCTTTTTGTAAAGCCAAAGTTTTGAAAGAATTTCCGTGTCTTCATTTTGTCCCCCTCCACTTGCTCCTTTAACTGAAATTTGGCTTTTTTTCTTAGTAGTTAACAATCTTGTCTTTTGAAGTCTAAAATCCCAATTCTAAATCTATGGTTTGGTTCACAAGCTATTTCTTACTTGACTTTTTTTCTGCATTTGACACTGCTGACAGCCCCTTCCTTAAAAATCTCTTTTCCACCAGGTTTCTTGTATTTCCCTCACTTCTGAGTGCCTCTTTTCATGTATTCTTTAAGTTATTCCTTAGGCTTTTATTCCTGCCGTCTTCAACACCGCCACTTCTCACTCTTGAGTCCTTCCAATTCAGTGATCTCTAAATCTGTATCTTTAGCCTAAACTTCTCAGACCATCTGCCTTCTACGCATCTTCACTTGGTTTCCCACAGACACCTGTGTGTATCTTAAAAAGTTACTCTGCCCCAAACCTACTCGTATGCTTATGCTCCTTCCTTTGGTTAATTTTAGAACCATCATCATCTAAATTCTCTAGGCTAACCCTTCCACTCCCCTGTCCAGCCAGTGTCTAATCTCTGTGGATTTTATTTCCATATCTCTGATACATCACTGTCTTTCCATTTTGATTGCTCTTCCCTAAAGTACAAACCTTTTTCCTTGTACCTGACCTGTCTCCTCTCTCTTGCTTCACAATGTTACCAAAGTGGGCTCTCTATAAGCACTGTCACACTGTTACTCCCTGCTTAACACACAGTGAACTCATGACCCTTTGGGAAGAAACCAGACCCCTTTCCTTGGTGAACAAAGTGCTCTGATAGGGGTCTTTCCGTTTCCGCCAACCTCATGTTCTGCTAAAGCTGACTCACAGTTCTTCAGATGCAGCATCGTCAGGCCTCCACACCTCGGTGCCTGCTGTTCTCTTATCAGGTGCCCTGGCCATCCTTCCCGACCTGGGGAACTTCTGTGTATCCTTGCAGGTCCAGCACAGCGATCGCTTCTGTAAATTCGCCCTTGCTCCATCCAAGGAGGATCACCTAAGTTCTTTTGTGTCACCACTGTAATTACAACCTACCTCTACTGTGTCACTTATTGTACTGTATTGTTTTTGTTTTTTAAAGTCTCCTTTACTAGAATGTGAGCTCCTTAAGGGCAGGAAAAGGAACTTTATCCATGTTTGCATCTCCACAGCATAGTTTTTGGCATATGAACACTTAATAAATGTTTGTTGAATAAATTGCTTTTAAAATGACAACTTTATTATCGCTAGTGATCATACCTTCACTCCAAATATTCTTCACAGTAAGTCAGTAGGCACCCAAGGATTTCTGGACTTTAGGTGATCATTAAAGCTTCTGAAACTATATTAGAAATTTGGTGTGGTTTTGGCAAGTTATGAAAGGGGCCTATTATGGAAAAAATGGTAAGAACTCTTTTTTTCAGGGGAAAACATTCCTGAAGAATTTCTTGAATAATCAAAGAAAAGCTGCCCAGGATTATGAGCTAGATAAATTTCTACCTGTTTAAGAATCTAAGGGGAAGGAGAGAGGTGTTGTAAGTTGTTTCACACAAGGATTTTCCTTAGCTTAATGTTTAAATAAACATGTACTATCTAATATGGGCTTCCCAGATGATGCTTCCCAGGTGGCGCTAGTGGTAAAGAACTCACCTGCCAATGCAGGTAGATGTAAGAGACGCAGGTTCAATCCCTGGTTCAGGAAGATCCTCTAGAGGAGGGCACAGCAACCTACTCCAGTATGCTTGCCCGGAGAATCCCATGGACAGAGGAGACTGGCAGGCTGTATAGTCCATAGGGTCGCAGAGTCAGACATAACTGAAGTGACTTAGCACGTATGCACATACTATCTAATAACATTGGTATTTTAAAGTATGGCATTTCATATCAAATTAGTGTATAACACTAATTAGTGTACAGCTAATGTTCTACATACAGTTATCTCAATGTTCAGTACATACAGTTATCCACTTATACAGTAGTTCGACTTTAGATTTTTCAACTTGACAACAGGGCAAAAGTGATACACATTCAATAGAAACTGTACTTCCACTTTTGAATTTTGTCCCCCACCCCCCACCCCGGCTAGTGATATGCAGTAGGGACCGCTCTCATGATTTGGGGCAGTGGCAGCACCACAGCACCCCCTCAGCCACTCAATCACAAGGGTGAACAACCCATACACAACCATTCCGTACCAAATACAACTTTTTTCACTTTCAGTACAGTATTCAATAACTTATACATGATATTCAACACTCTATTACAAAACAGGTTTTGTGTTAGATGGTTTTGCCCAACTGTAGTTTAATATAAGTGTTTTGAGCATGTTGGTTGGATGGCATCACCGACTCGATGGACATGAGTTTGAGCAAACTCCAGGAGTTGGTGATGGACAGGGAGGCCTGGTGTGCTGCGGTTCATGGGGTCGCAGAGTCGGACACGACTGAGCAATTGAACTGAACTGAACTGAAGGAAGGCTAGTCTAGGCTGTGATGTTCTAGGCCAGATGTATTAGATGCATTTTCACTTAGGACAAGACAAGGAATATCTGTAATTACAAGCTCACTAAAAGTAAGCTGTCATTTGTAACTAGATATTTTTCTCTTTCCTGTGGTTGGCTTCTTATACTTACATGACAGAAACTCAATGGGTGTAGTCTGTTAAAAGAGATTAAGAAAACCAGACCTCCAAATAAAAGCACAAACACTTTTATTTTTAACAGTAGTGTTTTGTTACAATTTAGTGAAACAAATAAATACATTCATTGGCCACAGCTATACTTTTATAACCAGTTTGACACTGATTTTATAGCTGAGAAACACTGTTAAACAATAAAAAAGGCAGCTATGCTTAAAAAAGCCACTTTAGCTATAAATTACATCTTTCATAAAACTACTACCAGCTATAGAGAGTGGCAAGAGTTTCAAAATTAATGACCATCCAAATGAAACAATAAAAACAAGTACTGCTAATCACTGTAGAATTATACACTTAAGCAATGAAATTCTCTTTTCTAGTTAGTGAACCAAAAAGAAGGTTTGAAATTGTCATCATGTGCTTCAGTGCAGGATGAACAGGGGATCGATAGCCCTTTGATTTGATAAACAACTCCTTCTTTCAAGACCAGACTTAAAGTGCTCCTAGTGCTTTGGAATTTTTAAGCAAAAACTGGGCCAGAAGCTTCTCTTTCTTTGTCTTTGGTGATTTATTGTGGGAGATGTCTATAAGGAGACAAATGCAAGAATTCAGGTTCCCTGGTCAAGGATAAGAAATTTACAAATCTCAGATTTGGAAGAATCAACTAATGCAACTGAAAAAACCAGGTTATTTTATCTGAAATATTTTTAAAAAGTAATCCTCACTTATCTGGTCAAATAGGAGCATTATATAAGGAAGTCTGGGGAAGCTTTCCTAGAAAACATGTATCACTTTGAACCCCAAGGATTAACAAAGGCAACACATCTTCTTAGTTAGCTCTAGATAATTAAATACCTAACATTATTAAGAAAATAAATAGTTGGCATTCTGAAAAGAAACCCAGTAACTGAAGTTGCAGTAAAAATACACTCAGGTAAGTGCATGGTATGTTGTCCTGTTATGACCTATAAATTCTATACCATAAATTTTTAAATAATTTGGTTGCATTAAGAGAATTTACTATAAATCCAAAGTGACATGTATAAGTTTATGCTTTGGACTGAATTCAGAATTATTTTGTATGATAAAAAGATGAAATTTCTTTGGCTGTGTACCAGCTTCCCAAGAGATCAAAAGCATTAAAAATTTCATTTTTTTCCTGGGGTTTCACGTACTATTATACTTCTGTGAAGTTACTGAATCAATCAAAAAGTTGAAAGATGTTTTATGTAAGAGAAGAAAAAGAATATAACTTTCTAATCAAAGTAAAGACAGAAAAAGATAGTTGTATTAGTTCCAGTTCTGAAGAAATAGATTAGCAAATAACCGTATATAGTCATCTTTAAGCATGTTGTGACAGCTTCCCAATGTTGCCTTTTACCTTGGGCTCTTGAGGTATTTAGCATCTACTTTTTTCCATATAGACATTGGTAGAAAGTGCATTTTAAAATTCTCTATCACTTTAGCCTACCATATATATATATATATATATATATTTTAGATCTAAGATAGGACGTTCAAGATAGTTTTAATGTAATTATGAAAGTACTCCAATATTATTAACCACTGGCTTTTATACTTACCTAGTTAGTACCTTCACATGAGTTGTTCATTTAGTCTAGTGCTGGAATTAATTTTAATTAAATTTAATTTGGTTTTGCTCATATGCAAGATATTAAAATGAAAACTAAAGGAAGAATTATATGTATTACAAAGTATTGCACTTGAGTTCACTGCAATAACATATCATGATTTAATTTACCTGAGGATAATCCTGATTCATAGGAATAATAGGTATGACTTGCTCTATTTTATTTCAGCTAATTGAATGCCTTTGAAAATGTATTCATGTTTTAACTTAGAATTGTATATTTTCTGAATAATTCTTAAATGCATCTGTAAACTTTAGTCCTAAGAAGTTTCTATCAATATCTCCCTACAGAAAAATTGCTGTTGTTTTCTTGAAGAATCATGCTTAAACTACTGCATTATCTTAACCATACAGGATAATCACTTGTCCAATTCTACTCAAAGTAGCCACGTAATTTTGATTGGTATACTTTGCTCTTGAAGAAATGATTGTGGCTTTCCAAAGAACACTGCTGGTCCTCACTGTAAAGGACTTCTAGTATCATTTCTTTATAATGATTGTTTGAATAATTTGTTAGTACTGTACAATCATGCTTAAAAGAACTATCTTCAATGATTACATATTCTCAACAGATCTTTCAAAAGAATGATACATTTTTATGCCTTCATTCTGTGCACTGTTGACACTATAAACTTTATTGGGTAAGAATTCCACATGGAGTACACTGCTGGATATACAGGCTTTGATTTTTGTGAGGAAACTGCCTCCTGATTTGATGTACAACATAACATCCCAGTGTGAAGACTGGGGATGACTTTGGGGACTGCAGTGTACTCTTTCAGAACAAAGATAAAAGTGCAAATTTGCGTTTGATATTCCAAAGTCAGGATGTTTGGAGGCCATCAAGTCCCTTAAGATCTAATCCTTCTTTTCTCTGGCTCCAAATTTTCCACTGTACTTCATTTTACCAGGACGAGGTCAAAAGTAACAGCTGTGTCCTCCACTGGATTCAGCCACATTTCCAGGCTTTGTTTTCAGGTGTAACGGATAATGGAATGTTTATGCAGATGGAATTTAAACACATTGAATATACACATTCATGAAAAATGATTGAAGAATCACAACTTGGTAATGCTATCAGTTTTGTGGTGTCACGTATAAGCTATGGTGACTGTTCATGTCTAAGTTACTACAAGTAAAGAGCAAAGGAGCAGTGTCTGTCAGAGGTCCGTGCAGGTGGGGAGAGACTGTGTAGCTGCTGCTGCCACACCCCGTCATGGTGCCATACCAGCCCAAGCCTTGTGAGTTTGATAAACTGCAAAAAAAGGGCCAAAAAGGACTGCGATCAGGATATAATAACTCATGTTGGCACTTCTAGTTCTTAATGAATTATGTTCTTTTCCAAATAATGGCTTCCTACAAAATTCAATAACTTATATCTAATATCCTTGATTCTATATCACATATTAGAAAAGAATGAATAAAGACCATTCAAAATTAGTAGAACTTGATTATCAGATGATAATAATAATAGTAATATAGTGCTTATTATTACTGGGCTTTATTCTAGGACATACATATGTATGTTTACACACACATGCACTCAATCTTTACAACAATCCTATCAGATAGGTTCTATTATTATCCCTATTTTACAGATGAAAAACAGACAAAAAATTGAGGTTAACTTATCCAGAGATGAAGTGAGGATTAGAGAAAATACTATATCAAACTCAAAGCATTATGTAATGTGCATTAAGGCTTTCTCTTTGCACTGATACAAAGCTAAAATGGTATGGACTTATAATGATTTTGGAACAAGGAGGGCACTGAAGATTTCTTATAGTAGCTAAGCTTCCTAGGAGTTTTATTTAGGGTTTCTCTCTGGATTTTGAACAGCACAGTAGATATGGAAACATATATAATCACTATAATAGTATTTCTTCTCTGCTCACCAACCCCCATCAGCTTTGAACTAACGAGGGATCCTGAAATGAAAGGGTGCCATTTTACCCCCAAAGGCATTTCTCAAATAAAGGTAACATATGGACTTAGGGGCAGATGATAATTCTTTATAGTACAGGTCTCATCGTGGGTTTAACATCTACTGTTCTATGCGCCAATGTTAAATGATCTTATATATTGATATGTATCAGCAAATCACCCTTTTCATATTTGGGTTAAAGCTTTTTAAAAAAATCTATGTTGGTACTAATTCAGTGCAACTACCTTCCTTCTCTTGAACTTCCCAGCCTTGGCAAGTCATCATCACTATCATATCGTCTCGGATTGTCGAAGAAGTATGCTCTGGAACTATAACTGTGACTATTTATCATGCCAGCAGGTGCCTGTGAACAATGTAGTAGATAGAATATGAAGATTTACTTTTCAACTAAGAAAGGAGGTTGAGACCTATAATCCTTTTTAGTTTTTGCCAAAAATAGAAAATCAATATAAATGTTCTATTATTTTTAAAAATAAGAGCAGGCATTAGGTAATGTTATGATATCATACCAAATTCTGGTTTAATCTCTGTGCCCGGAAAAACAGTACCACTGACCATGCTGGCACATGTTCCCACAGAAAGAGGACCATTCCAAATACAATATACTCTTCTCCACTTACGTCTTTTAGGTGAGCCTGTGAATAGAACATGGTCGAGCAGTTTTAAAATCAGTCTTATATGTAAGGAATCACCCTCCACAAAAAACTTGCTTCAGGTAGGGTAAGTTAAAAGATCAACTTACAAGCACATAGAACTCTAAATTAATTTTCCATATTTTATGGCTTCTCATGTAATGATATTTATTCTTTAAAGATCATAAAATGCTTTGATGTTAAGTAGAATAAAGAGGTATTAACTTTTTCAACACATCAATTTATGAAAATATTTTTAATACATGGGTAGTGGTGTGGGTGGTTTAGGTCCCATAGTCTGAGGAGGGTTATAGAAGAGACTACAGGTTCCAGCTCCTCCAAAGGCAAAATAATCGCACTTACCCTGAGTTACACCTGTAGAGAAATGTAACATGCAAGTCGCTCAGCTCTGTTGCTATTTAAAAACATGCTTTTGGGCTTAAATTCCATGTTGAATTTGTTTCTATTCAAATAGATGTGGGGAAAGAGAAATGGGAAAGGAGTGAAGGGAATCTGCCACACGGAACCAAATGTGAAAATTCCTTCTTTGAAAGATAATTAAAATTCTGATAAAATAGCATTCCAGAATGCTTAAATTCAGTACAAAGTTAAATAAATATAAATAAAGATATGACATGCACCTAGGTCAGACTATTTCTAGCAGAAGGATGGAGAATGCTGGGAGGTCAAATATGCATAGCAAGGGTACCAGGAGTCACTAGAGAAAACACCTAGATACCCAGGAACTATGAAAGCACTCCCATTTTCAAGACTGACAATGTCAGATTTTCATAAAAGTCATACATCTAAAACTGAGCCGAATATTTAGGTTATATGTAGTTCTTGGGTAAGAGAGAATTAATTTCATCCTAGCAAATTAAAGACATAACCATATTTACTAGCTAATGACAGAATATCAGCTTATCTAGAGATACTTAAACAATATCCTTTACAAATTAGTAAAATAGATTTATAACCAATAGATTTAATGCACTGTTAATATTATTCACAAAAAGAAAAGAAAATACTACTTTGGGAGAAGTTCTCTCTGAAGAATGATTTCAACTGCCACATATGAATGAGAATTTTTAAACATAGAACTTTGAAGTATGATTACTGATAGTGGCTAGAGATTCCATAAAAGCGTTTGTAAGTCAAACACTTAAAACATTCTCCTAGTCAGGCTAACTTCATTATCGTACACTTAGATTCGCAATACGTGCTAGATTCTTACCTTATCCGAAAGGTTATCCCAGCCATAATTAAATGGACTTTCTAATGTATCCTGAGATATGGTGATCACCACCAAATTATAACATGCTCTTGAAGAGTACAGAAGAATGACCACAGAGCCTACGACAACAGTCTGGCATAGAGACATACCCTAAAAGAAATAAAAGTCATCATCACAATAGCCTACACATTTGTCATGATATATATTGTCCACATACAATATAGTCACCTCTTGCAATGCACCCCTAGAAAACGCTGAGTGAGTGCCAGTTGAAATCAATTCTTGATTATCATGCTTTACAATTCCTATTTTTAGAACCACTTGTGTTTCAACTACCCTGTTAATACATGTAAGTTTTTTGTCAACTTGCCTAGCAGCAGCTGGAGGAAGATTTTGTTCAGCCAAGGTTACCTTACTTCCTTAAGTAATATATGAATAAACAAGTTGGCAAATGATCGATGTTAATCAGAGAGGTAGTTTAGGCACAATGAGAAAAGAATGGGAAATAGAAACATTAGTCCATTTGATACAGTTAATTTCCAATAAGAAGCAAAATTAGAATAGAAACAATTCCTGTACTATTTGCTTTGTTCTATTAGAGTTGATGTTAATCCTCTGTTGATATTGTTATGTTGATGGCAAAATGATGCAGGCACCCAAATGCACTTTCAAATCCAAAATATTTTAATACTAAAGCTTTCACCATTTCCTGAAATATAGAAAGAAAGCCTAGTATAACAGTGGTTATAACAGTGGTTGTCAACTAGAATGTATATATTGGAGAATGGTGTGGTATCCACTTTTGCAGAGATTCTTAACCTGAAATATTTGAATACAGCTGGTTTTCTTTGTAATCCTATTTATTTTAAAGACATTATTCTGAAAAGTGACACAACTGCCAAACATATATTGTGAAAAACACCTAATATGGTGTTTTGGAAGTTTGTATTTTAGTGTCACAATGATTAAGCGGAAATGATGGCATTCACCACACAAGGGTCAGGGCTGCTGGATGATTGACAATTTATAGGAGAGTTCTCCACATAAGAGAATTCTCTGACCTTTATAACTTCCCCATGTCCTCTTGGACATTTATGAAGATGAAAAACTTCTGAGCCAGAACCCAAATCTGTTTTAAATATAAAGTTTATGCTTATCTAGTTTTAAATAGATGCCAACATATCCAGAAACACACATAGCATGTAAATTGAGGGAAATTTGTCCTTTGTTTTTTGTTCAGACCTTTATCAAGAACAGTCAAATATTTCAGAAAGGTGTGAAAGTGACAGCAATACTGCTTGTGGTATATAGTGCAAAAGCAACACACCTGTAACAGTCTGCATTCATAGTCTCATTCACAATTCCTATGTGTAGATACAAGCACCTGACCACTATAGCATACCCTCAAATCTACACATTCAAATATTTATTAATTACTTTCCTTTTATTTTCTCATTATATTACAATTAGGGCAGTTGCACTGAATTTTTGAAGTTATGTGTGTATGTATATTAAACAATCTATTAATTTCAGCATAGAAATAGGTTATTAAAATTTATGAGAAGGTTTCAATGGGTTTGGTAGGATTGAGAAATATTATAACTGACATGCTCATAAGAACAACACATTTTTAGAGATGAATAAGAAGAAAGCAAACTTAAAGATGAAATATATCTTGAAAGATTTTGGGATAGCAATAGTGTATCTTCTCTGAGCTAACTCACTATTACAGCAAAAAATATGTGTGAAAATAAAATCCTAGCAAGATTAAATCTTTTAATCAAGACTAAGCTTTTCCACAATGTGCATTTTTATTGTGCATATTTATTATGAATCCAAAAAAATTGCTAATAAAAAGCTAATCTAAAAGCAATCCAGTTTCCATTTTAAAAGTACTATATTATTACAGAAAAGTTAAGTAACAAGAAAAGTTAGAATGCTGTAAGCATTATCATCCTTTAATATGCTGCTGCTGCTGCTAAGTCGCTTCAGTCTTGTCCGACTCTGTGCGACCCCATAGACGGCAGCCCACCAGGCTCCCCCGTCCCTGGGATTCTCCAGGTAAGAACACTGGAGTGGGTTGCCATTTCCTTCTCCAATGCATGAAAGTGAAAAATGAAAGTGAGGTCGCTCAGTTGTGTCCGACTCGTAGCGACCCCAGGGACTGCAGCCTACCAGGCTCCTCCGTCCATGGGATTTTCCAGGCAAGAGTACTGGAGTGGGGTGCCATTGCCTTCTCCAATCCTTTAATATAACCATAAGTAAATTTATAGTTACTGCTTTAAGAAATACTATGACTTCTAAAAGTAATAACATCTTATAATATGGAGTTTCTCTACTTACACTTGTAAATATTAGAAAAAACTGCAAAGAAGTGTGAGCAAAGAATAGTATCAGAGCAATTAACAAAGCAAAATTGCAGCCAAATTACATACATATAATAGAGAAAGAAGTCCACCAATTTAGAAAACAAATTAAGATTCTTCCTACAAAATATAGGATCATAAAACAAAAGATAAGCCACATGGAAAGTGCTATTGGAAAGTTAAAGAAAATTTTTCTAAATTGAATAGTCATGACAAACAATTCCCTCAGGAGCAATCCTCAAAGAATGATTCTCCCTTCCTCTACTTCAGACATCTGCAAACCATTGTTTTAGAAATTCCACACTTGACAAGTAAAGAAGAGTTAGACCTCACTCCAGTATGCTTACCATTGCCTAGAGTAAAGTATTTGTTTATAGGTACTTTTAGGACGCAGATATGCAGAAACCTCAACTTACCATTCATTGAATTTTGACAACTGGTGTACACAAACAAAGAACATTACCATCACTCTTGAATGTTCTCTGACATCCGTTCCCACCAGCCAACCCCTCAGAGTATACCCCACAAGTATTCCCCTGCTTTTGTTTTAACCACAACTTAGTTCTGCTTACTCTAGAACTTCACATAAATGGAATTATAGAATATGAACTCTTGTGTAGGTATCACTCACTCAACATGTTTTGAGATTCATCCATGCTGTTGGATGTACCAGTAGTTAGGTCTTTGCACTGCTGAGGTGGACAATGAATGTGACCAACTCCTGGTTTGCTCAAAAGTTTCCTAGTTAGAAAACTTTCCTAGTTTTAGCACTGAAAGTCCCATATTCCAGAAATCCTTTGAGTCCCTGGCAAACCAGGACAGTTAACCCCACTAATTCCACTGTATAATTACATGAATGTGTTTATATGAGAATTTGTTTATCCACTTTTTCTGTTGATGGACTGTTTCTGTGAATGGTCTTACTCAAATCTTTTTGTGGACATATTCTTTTGCTTTTCTTGGGTAAATACCTCAGAATGGAATTGCTGGGTCATGTGATAGGTTTAAGTCCAGCTGTATAAGAAACTGCCAGATCTTTCCCCAAAATGGATGTACAATTTTATATTTCCAACAAAATATGAGAGTTCCAGTTGTTCCAATTCCTAGATAACATTTGGAGTTGTCAATCTCTTTAATTTTAACCATGCTGTGGATATTTTGGTTTTAATTTGCATTTCCTCAGATGACTAACGATACTGTGTTTATTGGCCATTTGTACATCTTCTTTGTGAAAAGTCTGTTCATATCTTTGACCATTTTTAAATTGGGCTGTCTTTTTAAAAATTATTGAGTTGTAGACACTCCCTGCATATATTGGAAATGATTCATTGTCAGATGTATGCATTGCAAATATTTCCCTAAAATCTGTGGTTTGCCTTAGCATTTTCTTAGTCTTGCCTTTTGATGGGAAAATTTAATTTTAATTAAGTCTAATTTATTATTATTCTTTTGTGATTACTTTCAATGACCTGCTTAAGAGATGTTCAAAAGGAAATCAGTCCTGAATATTCATTGGAAGGACTGATGCTAAAGCTGAAACTCCAATACTTTGGCCACCTCATACGAAAACTGACTCATTGGAAGAGACCCTGATACTGGGAAAGATTGAAGGCAGAAGAAGGGGACAATAGAGGATGAGATGGTTGGATGGTATCACTGACTCAATGGACATTGAGCAAGCTCTGGGAGTTGGTGATGGACAGGGAAGCCCAGCGTACTGCAGTCCATGGGATCACAGGGAGTCAGACATGACTGAGTGACTGAACTGAAGAGATCTTTGCCTGTACCCAAACTGTAAAGATAATCTCTTATGTTTAGTTTTAAAAGCTTTAGACTTTTTTGAACTGTATTTAAATTTGTGACCCGTTTTGAATTTTTGTGTGTATATGAGATGCAGCTAGAGGTTCATTTTATTTCATATGGATATCCAGTTGTTCCAGCACCACTAGGTTTCCCTTTGAATTGTTTTAGCACCTTTGTCAAAAATCAAGATTATTTAAGTGTGGATTGTTTCCAGGCTCTCTATTATGTTTGTCTATGTCTTAATTACTATGGTTTTACACTAAGTTTCAAAGTCATGTGTTCTAACTCTTCTTTTTCAGAATCACCTTCTGCATTGTTCACTACAATAACTGTTAGCCACATGTATTTACATAATCACATTTAAACATGTTAAATTAAAAGATCAGTTCCTTTGTAGCACTAGTCCTCTTTCAAGTGCTCCATAGTTACATATTGGCTAGTACAGATATATAATATTTTTATCATCACAGAAAGTTCTATTGGAAAGCACTACTTTTTAAAAGTATTTTAGGTCCTTTCTATACCCATATAAATTTTAGAATAAATTCGTCAATTTCTATTTTTTAAAGCTGCAAGGTGCAATTATAATTGGGATTGCATTTTACTGATAGATCTTTTGTGGGGAGAATTGTCATCTTAAAAATACTGTATCTTCTAATCCATAAATAATGGTCTTCAATGATTTAGATCTTTAATTTCTCTCAGCAACATGTAATAGTTTTCAGTATAGAGGTACTGCTTGTTTTTTGCAAAATAGATTCCTAAGTATTTTGGGTTTTTTATGCTATAGAATTGCTTTTTGAATTTAATTTTCCAACTGATTATATCTGGTATATAGGAAAATCATGTAATTTTGCATTTTGACTTTGTATCCTGAGAACTTGCTATATTCATGATTCTTTGGGATGCTCTACTTAAGCAACCATGTTATCTGTAATTAGTTTTCTTTTTTTTTTTTTGATGGGCTAGGTGGTTTTTTAA